GATGGGCCACGGCATGACCTTGGTGGGAACTTGTAACTTTGCTTGTTTAAAGGGTACTAAGGCGGAAATGCAAGAGTCAGTTTCGAAAAGAACAAAGTATTGTGCTGGACATACTGTTGGGATTTGGGTCGTTGAAGAAGACATTCGGCAGGATAGTCTTTTTCTCCAATGACAAGACGCATTTTATGATGCTTGTAATTCCTGAAGCACCTTCTGAATGACCGACGTTCGCTTTCACCTGGCTTTACTTAGCTTGGTATACTTTAGGAAATAATAGGATCCAACATACTGCACCGATGTGTATACCATGGTCCCCAAAGACCTTTGCCACAACGGACGTCTCTGCTGTATCCCCGACAACCGTGCCTGTGCCATGGCACTCAAAAAAGCCTGTGTTGAATACATCCGTAATCTGTGCTCTCCGGTATGCTCGCCGGATGAGGCGCTCTTGTGCCTGTGAGCCCGGGGTGGTTATACTAGGCGTTTTGCCATCACAATTGACAGCAGTTGACCGAATAACCGCTCGAACGGGGTCTCCATCTCTCAAGGCGGCGTCCAGTGGTTTGATGTAGATTGCATTAACGGCCTCCCCCCTGCCGTAGCCATCCGCCGCGGCATCAAATGTCCTGCAAATCCCACTCTTCGAGATGACCATATTGTCAGACATGGAGGTGGTCATAGTCGGTGTGATGATCAAGTTAGTTCCAGCAACCAAGGCAGAAGAGCATTCGCCCGCATACAAAGCCTGGCAGGCCTCATGCAAGCCGACTAACGAAGACGAACATCCTGTTCGAATGGTCATGCTCGGGCCCCGCAGGTCAAATTCATATGATATCCGATTTGATAGAGCAAAATCCCCAGCTCCAATGACCCGATATCGATCATTAGCCTGGGTGTCCTTGCTCAACAGATCTAACCAGTCCTCTCCAAATACGCCTACATAGCATCCGATGTTTTTCCCACGCCATTGTGTTTGACCTCCGTTCTCCATGCACTCCCAGACAATCTCCATCAACATTCGCTGTTGCGGATCCAGCCTGGCAGCCTCGACCTTGCTCATTCCAAAGAAAGAAGCATCGAAATGAGCGATATCCTGCTGAAGAAAGTAGCCATGTTGTGTCCGAATCGCGCCAGACGTGGACTCCTTGTAGAAGGCGTCGATATTATATCTATTGTCGGGGACTCGGCACAGGCCGTCTCGTTTGTTTATCAAGAAGTCCCAAAACTCTTTCTCGCAATTGACACCTCCCGGCAACCTCATTGACATGCCCACAATAGCGATTGGGAAAGGAACAGGAGCGATATCGCTGTCATCACTCTCCGCTCGATCCTTGTCGGTTTCCGTCTGTTTGTCTTTTGGTTTTCGCGTCAAGGAACACGAACTGGCAGTACAGAGACTGTCAAGCTGCCCCGGCCCAACCGCGAAATTCAATGGCGAGTCTGCTATTGATGCCATTCCGTTCACACCCCAGCCAGTTTGAGTCTCGTGGCACGTTGAAAACTGTAAGATAGAAATACTGGCAACTGGTAAATCTTCAAAAAGCTGAAGATAAGGACATTGTCATTTTAAAAGTGTGCCACTTCCCCTACCCTTGCTATACCTTTCTTTCTGCCCCCTCCTCCTTACCTGTGGCTGCGCAAATAGGACCAGTGAACGCGAACCACCTCAGATTTCATGCAAGGGAATGTAAACCACATCCTCACCGCTGGTATTCTGGCAACAGCGGTCCCTTGCATCCAACGCTGTAGCAGGCAGGAATGGAGCCACTGAACAAATACTACAAATATTATTGAATCTAAAGTCATTAGCCGCTGTGAATGTATCATGAACTTGATTTCGTTTACTTCCTTATCTCAGCTCTAGTCAAGGCATTATATTCTATAAACTAACGTCGAGTGTAGGGTAATGAGAAGGGATACTATGCTAGTATTCCTGTCTCCTCTTCTTACCCTTCCGTCCCTTACTGACAGAGCCTAAAAGACAGTAAGCCAATAGAGAAGCCCCTCTCCTTTTGGTCCTATTCGCTACCGCACTTTTGCTGGCGGACAGCGATTGATACACCTTATGAATATAAGTAGTATCTTGCGTCACTGGTCTTTTGTTCTGATAATGACTGCATGCTCAGATTCTCCAGCTAAGAAGATCCTTTTTGACGAAAATAAAAAGGCAACAGGAGTTCAGGCTAAGGGCATAGAGAGGTACTTAATACACGTTCACTCAGTGCAAAGAAGGAAGTGGTCATGTCTGAAGGCGCCTGTCAATCCCCACAGCTGTTGATGTTATCTGGGGTAAGGCCATGGGATTCTTCAACGACGTAATATTGACCTCGCATACATGAGTTTTAGCTGTGTTGAGAGTACTGGCTTAAGACAGCGGAGGGGACAGAAGCCCTGTTTTCCAGACTATATGGCCGTATGCAATAGAAGCAGGTAAAGATCAGACCTATATAGGACGCTGTTTGGAAGGACAATTCCTGGCAGTTTGTGATCAGTCTAGTATACTCATTATTATGCCTGAGCCTAGCCAAGGTAAGACTGAGGGAGGTAATGCTGCTAAGCGAGAAATCCGTTCGGATGCAGCCGGGATTTGACCCTGAATCACCTAGTAAGATTCTCACGCCATCCCGGATATGATTCTTAGCAGGGGCTAGCCTATCCAAAGCCATGTTGATTAAAATTACTTCCTATGCAATTGTGATGCATCAGAGTACTTACTATCTTTCAGTAAGACAGTGACAGTGAGGTCAAGCAAGCGCCGAGGTGATACCCAGCCCTCTTGATTTCTTTCCCTCCAATAGGAGTAAAGTAGCGGGTGGTATCAGTGTCTTGTTAATGCTTAGGTTCTGAATCATAAATAGCCTAATCTTACAGGTACTGTGCACTTTCCGAAATATCCCTAGCTCATAACAGGGACTTTCAATCTGTCGAGGCTAGGGGACTAACGATGATTCTCATTGGCGCTGCTATCGAGGTTGCATCAGGCTGCTTGGGCGAAATTGGTTCACGAGAATTAAGAGGTGGTACTCTTCTCTTCTGACTATTAAGTGATATCTCTATCTTGTTATTGCTTTCTTTTTCTTTTTCCCTTCTTAGTGCTGTCAATTGGTGAGAGACTAATTTCCGTTTCTCAACGCTATTTTCTGATTTATCCTCAACTAGATAGCAAGGCGCATAGATGGAATTTGTCAACTCTCGCCAGTTAGCTGTTCGTTCCGACCTTGTTACAGCTCTTGTAATTTCAATATAAACACTATGGCTTGGGGCAAATTCAAACAAAGGCACATTTACCAATAACCCAACTGTTTGTGCGGCTGTTAGCGTGAAAAGCTCCTACTGTCTTGATATATATATATGCTACGGTGAAAATAGAATATTGGCCTCCGAGGCTTTACCAGATTGAATATGCATACTAGTGTCTATGCTAGTCAGGTATCCAAACTCAGACCACAACTCGTCACACACTTGCAGCAAGTAACACGTTTACTCGACCTCTACAAAGCCTATCTATCCTCCAGCCGAACTCTTGGTTGAGGCCTGTTTCCCTGCAAGTCCGAACGACGACGTCCTGACAGCCCGCAAAGAAACATCGACAAGATTCTCTCACATCTGTGCAAGTTAGCACCTTTCAAAGGGAATGGTCTAGTACAACATACATAATTGCAATATTCAGGTCAAAGAGTACCAGATCAATCTTTTCCCAGCCATGCAGGTGGGGGTTCGGGTCGTCTGCATGGTTGTAGTCGCTTAGCGCAATTGCCGGGATACTGATCCCTGCTAGAATACAGGCCACAACATCTAGCAAGATCAATGGCAGCAAATACGATTGTTTTCCACACAGTAGAGCCAGGGCCAGGATGTCGACGGCGATTGCCAGGGAGGCCTGTATCTGTTAGATCATCCATGATATATTGATTCAGCACGTACTGTGGCGAAAACGGTCCGATAGATCTTGTTTGAATCCTCCGGCCCCCATCTAGCAGCAATATATGCGGCTATAGCCAGATAGGCAATGGAACAGAAGAAGAGGGGCACACGGCCCACGAGATGAATCCATGTGATTGTATTAATTGTAGTGCGGGCCATGGTGTTAGTGTGGTTGGCTGCTAAGGCAGTACCAATGGAACTGCCATGAGCAGTAATCGAGGAATCGAGGATAGTAGACGATGCGATTATATCATGAGCGAAGAAGGACCACCGACTCAAGATATGTACATATATCCTCGAACTTAGCGTGTCGGCCTAGACAGTTGGCTTTAGTGCAGTTGAGAACTGCGTGGGCTGTGCTTAGCGCCGCACGATGTCACCGAATCTACCAGAGAAACTTCGTAATATATTAGACGTGGAAGATATAGCCCATTGATTGGCGGAATGTTCTTTGTTACGACCCTTCTCAAATGTACCTCCAAATCAACCTTCCTGTTCCTGTTCTTGTCAGATGCAGGCTTTGGTTAAACCCTCGCTCACTTATACCTCCTGGGTATATCAACATAGTTCATATCATAAGTCCAGCCCATGATTAACTATCAACACCATGTCTAACAAGGTCTAGGCAAGTTTTTAATACCAGATCCAAACTTTGAGATTAATATCAGAGCCTCCTCGCAGGACGCACACATTTGTGCTATTCACTACCAGGTGGCAAAGGCGACGAGTTCGCAGTACATAGAGCTCATCTCAACGAGCCTGTTGGGTAACCCTGCCATGGCTCAGCAGAGAATTTGTATATTTGTATATCCATCCACCAATACTTCCCTAACCACGGTTGACATAGGGACAGTCACAGAAAATGGCAGTGGAGGGCAGATGAGCGATCTAACCTTCACTAGAGGCAATTTCGGCCTTTATAGTGGGAGTTAGCAGTTTACTGCTCAGCAGCCCACATTCAAGGGGTGCAAGACAGGAGTCCAGCTAATCTAGGACTGGGGTTGAGTAAAAGTCATCAGTCAAACAATAAGCCATAGTATACACTGCCGACAGCACAGACGTGGAAGAGCATCGAGATGGGTAATGTGGGCACTGGCTTCCATCTCATCAGTGAGAATGGAAGTGGCAACATTGGATCTATCTATGTTGTGGATACCAGGTTCACTAACATCGCCACTGCTATACCCACGAAGCCGGCCTCGAAGGACCCCGGGACTGGCACAACCGGCATCACTCTTGACAACGTGGCCTTCAGTAATGTTCAGCACTACGTATTTGCCACAAAAGGCAAAGAGTACGTCGAGGGAGCCCCCTCATCAGTGGACACATGGACATTGGGAGCAGTGTATTTCAGGGGCACAATAAGAGATGTCTCCCTTGGTTACTCCTTCAACACTCCACGCAAGAGTCCGCTTATTGGCGCCAGTAATGGTCTTCCAAAGAGTCTGTTCTTCGAGAGGGTGAGGCCGGAGTATGAAGATCTGGATGCTTCGGCTTTATTCACGTCAAGGATCACGGCTGCAAAGGTAACGTCACGGCTCTATGGTTCATTGACTGCGTGCTAATCGCTCTAGGCGACGGTTCAACCGACGACACGGCTGTCATGAATGAAACATGACCCTGGACTAGCTGAGTTTAGGGAAATGACTGGCCAACGAGTTTGACCACGTTGAGTGTATGGTTTATCTACACGGTCTTTGCAGGGCATAATAGAGACTCTGCAGGCCTTGGTATCTAGGATAATTCTGAAGACGTCTAACCTGATTCTGTCACGCTGATTGCTCAGACCACGTCTTCTCAGACTTGTATAAAGCCAAAGACGGCCGTGAATCAGCTTGGTTACCGGAGAATTGAGAGTGCGGCCCCAGGGAAAACAATAATCGCAGCGTATTCCAGGCCAATGCTTGCACTTGCAGAGAGACTATTTCACTGTTTGTCCATCCGACTCTCTCAATGAAACAGAAAGGCCAGACACATTCAGTCCGCTGTAGTCGTGGACCAGATAACCGATTGTCGACTTGCAATTCACCAAGTCCAGCTATTTTTTGGTCTAATTTAGACGTCAGATACGGCGCCGCGAAAGAAGTTTCGGGGTGCTGGATGATATGTTTCAACAGCAGGTCTGTCTAGCCAGCCACACCTGCCAAGCAGTGCCGGCTGCAGGCGGCATGCCATGCCAGCACGCCATCTATACAAATGACATGGATTACCTCCAGATTAGAAAACCTTCGTAGCTCGTGGTACTGAAAGTAGAAAAGGGAGTCTGCATCCTTAGTTGTTCAGCTGCCTCAGGCTCGAAATAACCACATCCTGACCACATGGATGCTGGTGGATACTCCTTTCAAACTATACATTTCCTATTCAAAGCGGAGAAATTCCGCTGTACCTGGATTGACACTGCGTGTGGGCCTTCCCCGGATGATATCTGTCTCCATATGCTATCAACTTCGGCATGTCCATCGGCAGGCAACGCGGGGAAGAAAGGAGCTACCCCTATTTGCACGCGTCTGATTGGTCCCCGGATGTTCCGAAATCGCGCCAAGAAACACAAGCTCTTCAAGGCTGACGAGATCGCACGCCCGTTCGGTATTTTGACTGTTGATATCTCCCAGCTGTAGACTTGTAAGTTGTTCATAAGGCTCTTGTTCTGCATTGGGAGGGGTCTTTCACACTCACACATCAAAAAATCACAATGAACGGCGATATCCAGACCAAGAAACGGAAATGGGAAAGTGATGCGCGTGTTGACTCCGCTGCCACAGGCTTCTTTGAGGCATTGGGTATATGAACTTTGCTACTGTTGATTTGCAGGGCTGATATGATGCAGTTGAGGCTGGAGTCAAGTATTGTTTTGTGAATCTGTCAGTCGCAGTCCTCTTTGGTCCGTCGTACTGAGTTCTGACTGTGATCAGGGGGAGTGATCATCCGGCTATGATCGAGGCCATGATCAAAGCGAAACAGGGTATGCTCTCCAGTCCTTGAGTAAGTCTCGCACTGACGAAAAGCGGAGAAAACTCGACCATATTCCCCACAATTATCACCTGTCCTTCTGAACTGGTCGCTTTATCTGCGGCCTTGGGTTATGCTCAAGTAACCGGATCACCAGTACGTTTCAATCTAATACTGAAATTGAATCTCACTAACTCAAAAGCAATGCGTCATTGTACACGTCGACTGCGGAACCCTAGCAATGGGCCAATCCATCCACAATGCCTCCGTCACCCGAGTGCCCGTCCTGTGTTTTGCGGGATTGAGTCCCTTCACTGACAGCGGGGAGATGCTCGGTTCGAGAACAGAGTGAGTTGATTGCTATTTTGACTACAATGCAATCTAACACCAACAGATTCATCCACTGGCTGCAAGATGTCCCCGACCAAGCCTCTATCGTGCGACAGTACTGCCGTTATTCAGGCGAGATCCGTACCGGCCGCAACATCAAGCAGATGGTGTATCGCGCTATGCAGTTTGCCATGTCTGATCCAAAAGGTCCGTCATATCTTACTGCCGCACGGGAAGTTCTGGAGGAGGTAAGTGTCGTTCTCATTTGGAGGAGGGTTACTGATGGAAGTAGCAAGTGGAAATTCCCGACCTTGGAAACGAACTCATGGGCCCCGTCACCCCATGTGCTTTGCCTGAACCCGAGGTCGAGCGCCTCGCCGCTGCTCTGCTAGGCGCCAAACGGCCGTTGATCATCACAGGCTATATGGGCCGGAATCCACGGACGCCGCCGCTCCTGGCAGAATTATGCGACAAGCTCCCTATTAGCGTTATTGAAACTGTCGGGTCGGACGTGAGCCTCCGCAGTGATCACGAGGCATACCTTGGTGTGACGGTCAGCACGCATCCGGCTGTTTGCGAGGCAGATGTCATCCTGGTGATGGACTGTGATGTTCCTTGGGTTCCGACGGCAGGCAAGCCTGCAGATGGTATGCTCTTCTACAGCTTTTTTCAGACAATGACTCACATAGCACAGGAACGAAGGTATTCCACCTCGACGTAGACCCATTGAAGCAACAGATGCCAGGTGAGCTCAAATTCTCTGCCGAGCGCCCTCGATACTAACGGATGTAGTCTTCTTCATGCAGGCCATCCGGCGATATAAGGTCAGCTGCGAGCTAGCCCTCCAACAGCTCAACACCTACCTCGACAAGCAATCCCTAGATCGAGCCAAATACGCCGAGGCATTCGACGCACGCGCAGCACGCTACAGACAATGGAGACAGAGCCTGCGTGACCTCGAAGTACCTTCACCAGAAGGCATCGTGACGGTTCCATACCTGTCGTCCAGACTCCGGCAGCACCTACCGGACGACAGTGTTATTGTGATTGAAGCGGTAACCAACGCTATCCCCATCATCCATCACTTGAATCTTACCAAGGTATGTGTGCCACTTCCCTCGACATTACCTGACTGACACCTGACACACCAGCCCGGCACGCTCTACGGCAGCGGCGCAGGCGGCCTCGGCTGGGGCGGCGGTGCTGCACTGGGCGTCAAATTGGCCAAGCGAGATTCTTTCATCTGCGCAATGTAAGTTCCCGCTCATTGAAGTATACAGCTGAGCTGACAGATACAGCGTCGGCGACGGGACCTACCTCTTCTCGCAGATGGAATCCGTGTATTGGATCGCACGGCGATACGACATTCCTTTCCTCCTGGTTGTGCTGAATAATAGCGGCTGGAACGCACCTAAGGTATCGACATTGCTTGTCCACAAGGACGGTCTGGCGTCCAAGTCGAGTAGAGCGGGTAGGCTTTCCTTTCGGCAGAGTAGCTCTCCATGCTGATGGATGTAGATTTGAACCTGTCATTCGAGCCGTCGCCGGATTACCCTGTTATTGCGGCGGCGGCTGGCAACGCGTGGGGAGCGACGGTCACCAAGACGGACGAAGTTGATTCGACACTGAAGAAGGCCGTGGAGGCTGTCCAAGGGGGTCGGTGTGCGGTTGTTGAAGTTCGGTGAGTTTTCTCCCTGTCTTCCGAGGCAAAGCTGATGATAGGTAGGGTTCCGTCGATGTGGGTGGAGAAGTGACATACAGACTGTCCTTTGATGGGATCGAAGAGTTGAGCTCATAGATATCTGAGTTAAGCCGTTTTGCTTAGAGGCTGCAACGTCTTGCTCAGTGTAAGTATTTCCATGTTCATTAGCGTAATATCAATTACACAGCCTGTCATCGCGTATATGAGGGATTATATGTGCTACCATTCTTTTAGAGATTGATCGTGACAAGTCGATGCCAGTTGACGTCAGATAAAGGCGCATTGAGCTGGTGAGAACAGGATTACCCAGACTCTGGAGTCAGGGAAGAGTTCCCATAATCTTTCAGAGATTATTTCTGCTTGTATCACAATGATTGGTTATTCTATTGAGTTATCAAGGCCGATCTGAGTCGATCTGATCGATCTGAGATCCATAATCTCGATGATGGACGATTGCGGGAGTTGATGTCATGGTCACGCATGACAAGCATAATAAGCCACGGACGACGTTCACAACTCCAACCTGACTCATCGTTCTATTCAAACACCATAGTGTAGAATAGTTGTAGAATAGCGAAATGCCCCCAAAGAAAACCCGAGTTGCTATTGTTGGCGCTGGGCCCGCAGGCATGGTAAGCCGTCCTCCCACCAGGTCGAACTGTCCAGAACCCAGTTGAACGAATGAATGAATAGTCCTGTGCCTCTGCTCTGGCCAATCACCCCGATCGCTTCGACGTGACCCTCTTCGATATTGCACCGTACACCGGCGGCCAAGCAACCTCCATCTCTCTCGACGAGTCCCGCTACGGCGCCGAGTGGCTCAACGATGGCGTGCAAGGTGGCTCTCCGATCTTCCGACACACCTTCAACTTCTTCCGTCGGTACGGCTACGAGCCTCACCCTGTGAAACTGCAAGTCGCGTTCGGCAAGGGCGTGGAGAATTTCTTCACGAATGTATTTCCCTCCCCGCTGGTTGACCAGCTATCCGACGAGATAAAGAAGTTGGGCCACGTGCTCAAATGGATTAAGCGCCTGCTTCCGATTCTGGGGCTCATGCCCGTCAAGGTGATAATGAAGCTGTTCCGGTTCAGCGAGGAGTTTGCCAATAAAATGGTTATCCCGGTTTTGGCGCTCTTCTTGGGAACAGGGAACCAGACACCGAACGTTTCGGCCGCACTGCTGGAGAGACTGTTTGATGATCCCAATATGAGGCTATGGGAGTACGACCCAGACACACTCCTCCCAAATCAACCGACCATGTACACATTCCCCAACCTAGGCGACTTCTACCGCGACTGGGCTGTAGACCTCGCGTCTAAAGGCGTGGACATCCGTCTCAACACGGCCGTCGAGATCCTGCAACGAAACAACCACAGCATTACGCTACGTCCCCGACCCACCCGTCCGGACAGCGTAACCGCAGAAGCAGTCCTAGACGACTTCCGTGCGACGTACGACGAACTCGTCCTCTCGCTTCCCGCCGACGAGGCCAAGACCCTGCTAGGCAAACACGCCACCTGGCGCGAGCGGTACGTCCTCGGCGGCGTGGCCTTTTACAACGACATCACCATCACCCATTCCGACAGCGCGTACTTCAACAGTATCTTCGAGACGCGGTACAAGCCCGATCTCTGCGCCAAGGGCGTCTCAGCTATCAAACAGGAGCAGATTGCATTCGCGAAACGGCAGCCGCCGACATGCACATCGGAAGGATGGGAGGGCTTCGCGCCGATGTACTTTACGCACTCGTTTGCCAACGCGCCGCAGTGCATCGAGATGGGCTTCGACTGCTCGAATTACCAGCATCAGTTTCGGGAGAGAGTCGGAGAAGGGAATACCCCGCTGGAAGCCGAGCGGCATGTCTACCAGACCATCTACCTGAATGACCGGCAGAAGCACCTGTGGACGTGGGATAGTGTTGATCCTGACAAGATTATTGCAAAAAAGTGGTGGCGGCAGTTTGGGCATCGGTGGCAGCATTATCTGCGGGTTGTGCCGGGGATGATGTTCATTAATGGGAGAAATCGGACGACGTATGCGGGGGCTTGGACTATGGTGGTATGTCTTGGTTCTCCCCGGATGTGATGGACTAGCTGATGGCGTTAGAATATGCATGAGATTGCGTGCATCTCCGGTCTGGCAGCTGCGTATCGCCTTGGAGCTGCGTATGAGCCATTTGATGATTTCGCGGAGGATCTGTTCGCAAAGTACCTGCTTGTGTCGCATGGAGTGCGGTATAAACGAAGGCAGTGATCCATTCATTGCGTGTATAGTCTATGAGCAACCACAAACCGTATGGAAAGCTCTCAAACTCCAGGTCTGTCTTGTTGGCGCCAACTTTTGGGTTCTAGTCAATTCCGTCACTGAGCCGTTAACCGCCTCTCTCTGCCAGTTCTCAGCACCATAATGGACAAGTAGGCAAAGGAAGAATGCTCGCAGTGCGAGCCCCGAGACTGCCGCTTCTATTCCGGTCTTACAAATTTGGCCCGTTAACACAGGAAGAGGACGACTGGATACGACGGCTCTTCACTCATGGCAAAAAACTGTGTCCCAACGATATCTCCCACGCAGTATGCAACAAATAACATGGAAGTAAACACCATTCGGCAATAGAGCAAAGTTGTCAGCCGTCTGTCAAGCCAATGTCAACCCTGATGAGTGCCACAAGTGTCCGGAATGCAGAGAGAGGAAGAGATTCCGCTCTCTACTGTTGAAGCCCCAGAAGATTATTGGCTTAGGAGACATTTTCTCAATTAGCGGGATGGTGTTGAGTGCGATGACAGCAGAACAGGGTCAGATTGATATGCAGTGCGGAACCAAAAAAGAAAGACAGACGATCGATAGGGATAGTCACCTGAAGATAGGAAAACTTGTGGCAGTCTCTTAGTTCTGTACGATATAGATAGATATGGCCGGGGAAAAGCTAGCTCGGCAAAGCATATCTCTAGTCGCGTACTATTGCATAGATCCGGATACTAGAACTGGTTAATGGCATACGGAATGAACCCCGAGTGCTACCCCAACATGGAATGCGGACAGAAGCAATGTACCACGGCTCACCTGTGGATTCATTCTGCCGAGCATATCGAAGAGATCGACAGTGCCTTGCGACGGCAATTGGACTCCAATCATTGCTCCAAGGCTTACCCCGCATTGATAAGCCGATGTGCATAGTCGAATTCCTGGTTTGCCGAGAGACAGTAGCTGTTTGATCTACATGGCTGCGTGGGGGAGTGACCGCGGTTTTTGCCGGGTATAATAAGGACGGTCATTCTCTCATTGACACATCGATACTCTGTACTGACAATCAAGTTAGACATCATGGCAATCCCCACACCCAGCATTGACGAGATCAAATCGTCCATCGACGCAACCCTAGACAATCTCCAGTCCTCCTTGCGAGAGCTCAACCGAGAGGTATATTCTTGTGACTACTTGACCTACGCCGTTAACTGACCGGATCAATACAGATATGGTCAAACCCTGAAACCGCATACCAGGAGCACAAAGCCCACGAGGCCATCTGCGCCTTTCTCGAAGCCCAAGGCTGCACCGTCACCCGCCACGCTTACGGTCTCGACACCTCCTTCGAAGCCACCTGCGGCTCCGGCGGCCGGCTGATCAATTTCAACGCGGAGTACGATGCTCTCCCTGGGATTGGGCATGCCTGCGGCCACAACCTCATTACCACGAGTAGCGTGGCGGCATTCTTGGCCCTATCAGCCCTGCTGAAGAAGTACGGCATTCCTGGACGGACACAGTTGCTCGGGACACCGGCCGAGGAGAACGGGGGTGGAAAGAGAAAGTTGATTGAGAATGGGGCGTACAAGGGTGTCGATATCTCGCTGATGGCGTAAGTATTTTGCTTCATCTGGTTACAATAACTGACAAACTAGTCACGCTGGACCCAAGAAGCTCTTCCCCGGGGTCGACTCGGACGGCATCGCCGGTGTACTCATGAACGCCCGCAAGGAAATCCACTGCGAGTTCACTGGCAAGTCCGCACATGCTGGGGGTAACCCGTGGGACGGGATCAATGCGCTGGATGCTCTGGTTAGTGCGTACAACAACGTCTCTGTGCTGAGGCAGCAGATGCAGCCTGACGAGAGGGTGCATGTTGCATTCACGGAGACGCCCACTGTGGCCAATGTCATTCCAGAGCGGACCAAGGCGTACTGGCAGGTGCGCAGTCCGACGCTGAAGGGGTTGGATCGGTTGATGGGGAGAGTCCGGAATTGTATCGAGGCAGGGGCGTTATCGTCGGGTTGTCGCGTTGATATTGTCGAGTATGTCTTCTAGTGCTTTTTGACCGATGCTAAAGTGCTGATTATGCAGGGATCAACTGTATACTGATATCAAGATCAATGACGCCCTCTGCGAACGATACCAGACTCACATGGCTCGTTATGGACGGAAGATTACCAAGAGCCACGACAAGGTCTTGACAGGATCGTCAGATATAGGTACGTTTTGGTCCTCCAGCAAAGGCTGCAGCTGACTCTGTAGGAAACGTGAGCTATCTCGTTCCAACACTGCATGCCATGTTCGCGGTCGCAGACCAGGAAGGCTTATTTCTTCACCATTCCTCGTTTGCCACTGCCGCCGGGACAGATACTGCGCACGAGGAGGCAGTCATTGTGGGCAAGTCTCTCGCAATGATCGGGTGGGAGATGTTGACAGATGAGGGACTCTTAAAGACGGCAAAGAAGCAATGGGAGATGGCGATCTTGGAGTGATCTTTTTCCTGAGTACTTCCAACGCGTCTACTTATATCCAAACTGCCGCTCATCGCCATCTCTTCGACATCAACGTACCTCTCCTCTTAAGCCAATCAATAGCGCCATTGGCATCAATAATAGAGCATGAGGATAATTCTTCACTAGATAGTATATATGAACGTACTGTATTCTGTACTCGCCACGAATGAGTCTAGATCCTGTATAACCCTATTTGAAACTTTTAGTGCTACCTGGCAATCCGCCGACTATGCAGACAAATAGAGAATGCAAGAACGTCTAAGCAAAAACAACCGTCTTGTGCCCATTAAGCAAGACCCTCCGCTCGGTCACATACTTGACCGCCGTCGCCAGCACATTACTCTCGACATTGCTGCCCGCATGCGTCAACTCCTTGGGACTCAGCGCATGGTTCACCCTAACAACATTCTGCTCGATGATCGGCCCCTCATCCAAATCACTCGTCACAAAGTGCGCCGTGGCACCAATGATCTTCACACCCCGGTCATACGCCTGGTGGTAGGGCTTCGCGCCCTTGAAACTCGGCAGGAAGCTGTGGTGGATGTTGATGATGCGGCCGGACATGGCCTCGCACAGCATCGGCGACAGCACCTGCATGTACCGCGCCAGCACGACCAGGTCGATCTGGTGTTCGCGCACCAGCTCCAGCACGCGCGTCTCCTGCTGTTGCTTTGTGTCCGGCGTGACGGGCAGGTGGACGAACGGCACGTTGTAGGTTGCGGCGAGGGGCGCGAAGTCCGGGTGGTTCGAGACGATCAGGGGCACCTCGATGGCGAGCTGGCCGGTGGATTGCCGGAAGAGCAGGTCGTTGAGGCAGTGGCCGATCTTGGAGACCATGATGAGCACGCGGGGCTTCTGGGCGGCGGGGTGGATCGCAAAGTCCATGGCCAGGGACTTGGCGGTTGGTTCGAAGGCGGCGCGCAGTTCCTCGACGCTCAGCTTGGGGTGCTCGTCTGTGGCCTCGGTAGCGGAGGCGGAGGCGGCGAAGTGCATGCGCATGAAGAAGCGCTTCGAGGTGGGATCGCCGAATTGCGATGAGTCAACGATGTTGAGGTTGCGCGCAACCAGGAAGGCGGTCACGGCGTGGACGATGCCGGGGCGGTCCGGGCAGGAAAGGGTGAGGATGAAGCTGTCCATGATGTTGAATCGAGGGGGAGTGTTGAATTGAGTCGAACGCAAAGACAATAGACGGTAGATGACAGCAAGAAGATGGGCTGACCCGGACGATGTGGGAATTTAGCAACAAAAAGGGAAGAAAACCCCGCGCCGTTTTCGGCGCTGACTAAGGTGGGGCGATCGATAAGATTAGGGTTAGGTTGTCTATCATTTCCGGATTGAGCATCATCATGAGGAATTGTTATCAGCAGTGGAGATACTGTAGCTGTTGTTGATCATATGCTTATAGAGTAGTTGGTAAGAAGCCTGTGGTAGCATCAGCCATGAAAAGTGGAATGTATAGAGGCGCGATATGCTACAGACACATCTACCAGTAAGGAATATCATGTCCACTATATGTACTGATTCTCATTCCCTGACTACAGCAAGTGTATACTTGGCAGAAAAGGTTCAGACTTCAGTCTCAATATTTGAGCTACTCGACTGCCGTGGTTGCTCTAAAGGCCGCAGAAGGGTAGAAGGTTATACGAGAGATAGTAGTACTCATTTTGATGTAGAATGTTCGTGTGTATATAGCTCGCTCAGTGTCTTCATTTTATTCCTGCCTGAACATCATAGCAATACTAGTATCCAGAATAGTCCCTGTCAATGATATAGAAAATACTCCTGAATGTGTTAATCCCCCATGTCGAAAGAATTAAACCGTCGCTCATCCACTCTAGTTAAATGTGATGAAGATGCAGGTTTACGATATAGATGTCTCCGTCTTTGGAAGAATAATATCATTGAAAGTGAGAAAAGACAGTTACTCGAACAATAAACGGCATACAGCCTCATCATATGAAGATATTTCCTAATTCGGCAGATTTGGTCGGAACCTCCGTCTTGTCCAAATAGTTCAGATCAAGCGATCTCAACCTGAGTGATTCCCCGCATCTTCATACCACAATACTGTAAGGAGCCACCTGCAGGGTCGACGGGCTCTAAGTCCGAGTCTACAGTGTCAACAGTGAGGATCCAGCCATACCTAGATCTCTCACCGAAGCACAGCCGTACCCGGACGACCAGATGCGCTAGAGTACCTTCGGGATTTAGGTTGCAAGAGCCGAGAATTCAGGCGGTAGCACCATGTCAATGCCAAAGGCACCCCTGAAGGATCTCGAATCCGGAGCTTGTGTTTGGCTGCTAAAGTTCACCAAGGTTAATTAGAAAGCTACCCCTCTCGTATCGACTATTCCCATCCTGATCACCTGAAACAGGTCGATTGAGCTTCATTTCCGGACACTGCTGTTGCCACTGCGGGGTTACTATGCACATACTCCCTGGCTAGGTCCCTACAGAGTGCTATGGACGCTGGTTTCAGTTTCACGGAGGTCGTTCCTCGTGGTTGGGGTCACTGCACGAGATAACTGATGTCTGGTATATTGAGCAGGAAACAGGCCGATTGAGGGAAAAACTGTGTGTGGAAGGACAATATTTACTCCGTGGTCAGCAGACTAACTGTACAAGCAATATAGAGGACACCCTATGTTCTACTCCGCGATGTTGGCGCTTAGGCTACTGGCAGTCAGTTAGCGGGGTGTGCACTGCGGAGTAAGTGGTTGCAGGATCAGGAGAAATAGCAGGTCAGATGAGTCCGGGCTCAATCTAACTATTCGAACGCTAAAGCAGGTCAATTGGACTTGTTGCTGACCACTCACGAAGACTGAGATCTTTCCGGATTGGTTGATGAAACATTCATATACAGTGCGGGCATTATCGGAGTATTGGACACTGGACAACGGTGACTGGTTATGACAATATCATCAAATGCGAGGTCTATACCTATGGTCAGATGACGGATATAGATTAATAGAGAGAAATATGGCAGATTCAGAAGCATGTGGTATAGGTATCCTAAGGCCAAGGAAGTGACCGGAGCTCCCAATTAGGAAATACAAGGGCTATTAGCGTTCTTGATTTGGGCAGAAATCATTCGGATCACAGGAGGAAAATACTTAGCGACTTCCAAGTTAGAGAAGAATTAATACCTGGTCACGATATGATTGCAGGATCTGTGGCATAGCGCAGTTAATTAATTAAAAAAGGATCAGCCGCCCAAATGCCGAGGAGGAACGAGGATGGCCTGCAGTCAGCGTCACATCAAGCGATACTGCATCGGACCTGACCGCCGCTTTCAAGGAGCTTAGAGCACTAGTCCGGGATTACTCCTGATCATCCAGACACGTCAATTGATGGTAAAGACACGCACTAAATCCCTGGTATCTATTTTGGCACGTCGCCTGTTTATAATGTACCCATACTACAGACTCGATTCTCTCTATGGGTTCCCTCCATCAAGCTAATAATGGCATTACCGAATTGAGCGACTTTTCTACATCCTAGAACCATGCTAATCGAAAGGCTAACACTCATGTCTTCTGTACAATACAACATCCTCGCTGGCCCCCATGACTGACCTTCGTGCACCTACCCTTCCCCTGACTTGACACAGGGCATCTCGCTATATGTCTAATCATGATGTCTCGTTTCTATTTCAATTTCAGAGAGGTAGATTGATGATCAGATCAGAAGCGTGAGGACGAATCGAATAGTATTAAACGCAGAGGGTTAGAAGATTGTAGGGGAAGGCATAATCAAAGGTGCTTAGTACAGATCGAGTCTCAACATGTGATGTAACCTTTATGTGTTCTCAACTATGGATTATGCTGGTGAACAGCATCTAGTGCCCAGGTCTAATGCATGCTGCGGGCCGCGTCTGGGAGCAGCTGTTGATATTGATCTTCGGTAGAGCTATACACGTCTGAACGAGCAGCGTAATATCTCATAGTGCGACGCTAAAACTGTGGAACAGTTCCAGAGTAAACAAATCCATGGACAGCAAGGCCGGAAGATTCTAGCTAGAGGGAAAGAGCCCCTGAAGTTGTTGGAATGGCCGGGAAGTAGGTCCTTTACAAATTATGCCAATCCGAGCGACTAGCTGTTATACTGTCGTCCGATTAGTTTGACGACAAGATTATTGTTCCATGCAATCTCCACACCTAATGCGAGCATTACTTGGACATGGTTTATTGCCTGAGAGAGGAGCTTGTGGTAACGAAGAAAGGGGTGCATCAAAACAGAGAGCGTCATTCTTTCATAGCATACTTGTATAGGGTAGTTTGAGGGTTGATTGCACTAAAAGCTCGTATAAAATACTAGTATCAGTAGCCAGATCCTCTGGTCATTCAGTTGTAGGGGGCTTTGCTTAACCATTGAGTATAAGACAGGGAAGACCAGAGAATTACCGGTATGCGACTATGGAATACAGGTCACTTGAGGGAATCGTCCAGCGTGGCTACGTAGTTTACTCAAATGATTAGTTCAGGAGAAATGGATTGATCTAGTGCTTGATAGATGCTTTGGCGCCGGGGTTACTTTCTGATGGCTCAGGACACGCACCGAGCACGCATGTCCACGATCGTTAGTTGATGCTTGTCCGAAAAGCGGCGGCCTAACGGGCCGAATTTGGAAAGAAACCCCCTAAGATTCTGCAGAAATGTAATACGGGGTAGTAAGGAGTAAAGGGTATAGCTAGTGTTGTCTACTAAGATGGTGCATAACCGCTGACTGACGGCTATTTAGCCGATTTCTGATCGGTCAAGGCACTGCGCCGACTAGCTCCTAGTCGAGGTACCGGAGGCTAAAGGCATCAATCACAGCTCATCTCGTTTGCGCTAATTGACTGAACTCTGTAATTTCTTCACATCTTCACGCGGGGAATCAACTCTTCCCCATGGGGCGATACAACGGCATGCGGTCCGCAAAGCCGTCGACGACGATGTTGAGCTGCTTGGGCATCTTGGATCATTTCAACACATTCTCAGGCTCATAGATATAAAAGCAGGTCTATCTCTCTGGACATGAGTCTTCATTCTCCTCCTCATCACTCCCTAACCAGTCAATCCAGTCAATCCTTGGACAAACATCACCATGCTGGCCTCCACCTTCTCCTACCGCATGTACAAGACCGCGCTCATCCTGGCCGCCCTTCTGGGCTCTGGTCAGGCTCAGCAGGTCGGTACTTCCCAGGCGGAAGTGCATCCGTCCATGACCTGGCAGAGCTGCACTGCTGGCGGCAGCTGCACCACCAACAACGGCAAGGTAGTCATCGACGCTAACTGGCGTTGGGTGCACAAAGTAGGCGACTACACCAACTGCTACACCGGCAACACCTGGGACAAGACTCTCTGCCCTGACGATGCAACCTGCGCATCCAACTGCGCCCTTGAGGGTGCCAACTACCAGTCCACCTATGGTGCGACTACCAGCGGCGACTCCCTCCGCCTCAACTTCGTCACCACCAGCCAGCAGAAGAACATTGGCTCGCGTCTGTACATGATGAAGGACGACACCACCTACGAGATGTTTAAGCTGCTGAACCAGGAGTTCACCTTTGATGTCGATGTCTCCAACCTCCCCTGCGGTCTCAACGGCGCTCTGTACTTTGTCGCCATGGACGCCGACGGTGGCATGTCCAAGTACCCAACCAACAAGGCTGGTGCCAAGTACGGTACTGGTTACTGTGACTCTCAGTGCCCTCGCGACCTCAAGTTCATCAACGGTCAGGCCAACGTTGAAGGATGGCAGCCCTCCTCCAACGATGCCAATGCGGGTACCGGCAACCACGGTTCCTGCTGCGCGGAGATGGATATCTGGGAGGCCAACAGCATCTCCACGGCCTTCACTCCTCACCCTTGCGACACTCCCGGCCAGGTGATGTGCACCGGTGATGCCTGCGGTGGCACCTACAGCTCCGACCGCTACGGCGGCACCTGCGACCCCGACGGATGTGATTTCAACTCCTTCCGCCAGGGCAACAAGACCTTCTACGGCCCTGGCATGACCGTCGACACCAAGAGCAAGTTCACCGTCGTCACCCAGTTCATCACCGACGATGGCACCGCCAGCGGCACCCTCAAGGAGATCAAGCGCTTCTACGTGCAGAACGGCAAGGTGATCCCCAACTCGGAGTCGACCTGGTCCGGCGTCGGCGGCAACTCCATCACCAACGACTACTGCACCGCCCAGAAGAGCCTGTTCAAGGACCAGAACGTCTTCGCCAAGCACGGCGGCATGGAGGGCATGGGCGCTGCGCTCGCCCAGGGCATGGTCCTCGTCATGTCCCTGTGGGATGATCACGCGGCCAACATGCTCTGGCTCGACAGCAACTACCCGACCACTGCCTCTTCCTCCACTCCCGGTGTCGCCCGTGGTACCTGCGACATCTCCTCTGGCGTCCCTGCGGATGTCGAGGCTAACCACCCCGACGCCTCCGTCGTCTACTCCAACATCAAGGTCGGCCCCATCGGCTCGACCTTCAACAGCGGTGGCTCGAACCCCGGCGGTGGAACCACCACCACCGCGAAGCCTACGACGACCACTACCACCGCCGGTAGCCCTGGCGGCACCGGAGTCGCTCAGCACTATGGCCAGTGCGGCGGAAATGGATGGCAGGGCCCTACTACCTGTGCCAGTCCTTATACTTGCCAGAAGCTGAATGACTTTTACTCTCAGTGCCTGTAGATAGTGGCCTCCTCAGCCGAGAGCTGGATGACGTTGACGGCTTGAAGGAAAATGTTTTACTATTTAGTTGCTAGCTTGAATTGAATTGAATGCAATATTTTACCTCCATTGGTCTTCTTTGTATTCCCTTTCATAGGCGGAGACATCGTACTGCATCCTTAATACGAACTGTCTGCATCAATCTATATTCCACCCAGCTGATTGGACAAAACCTGAAGAACTCACCCTTTAAACAAACTAATGCAAGTCTCGGCCCTGACTAGACTAACCTGCTTGATTTAGCCTGTGAGGAGTCATCTGCTGCAAGGCATCCTGTTATCCCCTGCGCCTGCATATCCTTTTCTCCGGGGTCACTTGCCGGTTTCTGGGGTGCAGGTGACATTGACATGCAGGGATCCCTTAAGAGACAAGTACATTAGGTCATGGAAATTATTCAAGCGAGATATTACACTAATTCAGAATTCAGGCAAATCAAGCTAATTTCCACAAGCCAGAAGTCGCGGTCAACCACCCCCGCAGATTGGTTTGCGTCGTATTGTATATGGGAATATTAGCCTAATAATAATACCGGAATTGTTGATTTGCATGTGCAGTGCAGGTAGTCGACTAATGTAATTTACTTTTCAATCTGCTCATTGATATACCCAAAAGAATATTGCCTTCTAGTACGCAATTGATCACGAAGTCCCCTGGCCCTCACTTACTGGTGCCTAGCGATCCGGAATAGGCCGGATCATCCCTGACAATCAGTCTATGCTTAACAGCAGACTACTGGCGGAGCAGACTACCTGCAGAAAGTCGGGGTATGGTAGTACCCGTTCAGTCACTTCGTACGTGGCTGTATCTGGCTCCTGCAGAACAGGTCGTCGCCACCTGCAGGGTAGACGCCATGCAATCTATTCCCGGAGATTACACCCTCAAGTACCGTGACGAATCGGTTAGGCAGCCCTCCCTGGCTCCGTTCCGGTTTGGGATGGTATATCCCTGCAGACATGCAGGCATGCAGAAAGTGTCGGGGTGCGGTCCGAGGGGCCGTCGTGATGTCTTGTTGTTCGGAAGTGATGAGTATATATACCTTGATTGAAAACTGTACTTGCCTTCAGTGTATAGCTGGTAAGTATACGCTGGATACAAGTACAAGATGAAGGCTTCGACTATTATCTGTGCACTTCTCCCCCTTGCTTTGGCGGTGCCGAATGCGAGGCGGGCTTCTGGGTTTGTTTGTATGTTTCCCTTTCTTCTCTTCATCGCAGAAGCTGACGGTGAGATAGGGTTTGGAAGTAACGAGTCTGGCGCCGAGTTTGGAGAGACCAAGCTCCCGGGCGTGCTGGGGACGGATTATATCTGGCCCGATGCGTCGACTATCAAGACTCTGCATGATGCCGGGATGAACATCTTCCGTGTTGCGTTCCGGATGGAGAGGCTCATCCCGGATAAGATGACGGGGACTCCAGATGCGACGTACATGAATGATCTCAAGGCGGTTGGTCTGCTGATCTGGGTGTTGAGGCGTCGCTGACGAGGATAGACTGTCAATGCGATTACGAGTCTGGGGGCGTATGCGGTGATTGATCCCCATAACTATGGAAGATAGTGAGTTTGTTGCTGCCTTGCTTCTGATGTGAGACAGTGCTGACGGCACAGCTACGGGAACATCATCTCGTCGACTGACGACTTTGCTGCGTTCTGGAAGACCGTGGCTGCCCAGTTTGCGTCCAATGACCATGTCATTTTTGACACCAGTATGTTTCCATCAGTTTTGAAATGAAGGACAAGCTGACGGAACAGACAATGAGTACCATGATATGGACCAGACGCTCGTTCTCAACCTCAACCAGGCTGCCATCAACGCCATCCGTGCTGCAGGCGCCACCTCGCAGTACATTTTTGTCGAGGGCAACTCGTGGTCCGGCGCGTGGACCTGGACCAACGTCAACGACAACCTCAAGGCCCTCACCGACCCTCAGGATAAGATCGTCTACGAGATGCACCAGTATCTCGACTCAGACGGGTCCGGCACGTCGGCCACCTGCGTGAGCTCCACCATCGGCCAGGAGCGCGTGCAGTCCGCCACACAGTGGTTGAAGACCAATGGTAAGAAAGGTATCATAGGCGAGTTCGCTGGAGGCCCCAACAGCGTGTGCCAGTCCGCTGTCACAGGCATGCTTGACTACTTGTCTGCCAACTCGGATGTGTGGATGGGCGCAGCATGGTGGGCCGCTGGTCCCTGGTGGGCAGATTATATGTTCAGCATGGAGCCGCCGTCTGGCACTGGCTATCAGAACTATCTCTCGTTGTTGAAGCCGTATTTCGTCGGTGGTTCGGGTGGTAACCCTCCAACGACCACCACGACAACTACCAGCAAGCCTACTACGACCACTACCACGGCTGGGAACCCTGGCGGCACCGGAGTCGCACAGCACTGGGGCCAGTGTGGTGGAATTGGATGGAAGGGTCCGACTGCCTGCGCCACGCCATATACCTGCCAGAAGCTGAACGACTACTACTCTCAATGCCTGTAGTTCCATAGCACATAGCATATCTCACAAAATTGAATGACTTGGATTGCCGTGTAATGCTTCAAGCAACCAACTCCTCCACACTCTTCATCTCCCTCCCGTTATTCTCCCCCACATCCAACGCAACCAACACCCGACTCACACAGTTATACGCCGCCACCCCCGTCGTCAACTCGACAATCTCCCTCTCATTCAGCCCAGCCCTCCGTAAGTCCTCAAACGTCTCCTCCTCAACCCTCACCCGCAGCGTCATCTCATCCGTATACCGCACCACCGCCCTCTGCACCTCACTCAGCACACTCCGCCCCAGCGCCTCCTTGCCGGCATCCGTAATCGTCGCCTCGACCTCGCGCACCGCCCGCAGCTCGTCGGCCGTCACCCCGTCCTTCAGCGCAAGCGGCGCGTGCGCGTTCCACTCGTACACGGCGCTGTTGAGGACCGCTACGCGGCAGACGGAGAGCTCGAGGAGCGCACCGGGGAGGATTGTGCGGGTCCGGATGGCGCCGAGGAAGCTGTTCCAGCCGTCGGCGACTGGGGGGGAGTGTAGCAGGGAGAGATCGAGGGGGATGAGTGGGCGGGGGTGTCTGCGGGCGGCGATGCGGGCGTAGATTTCGGTGGTGGAGGGGTCGGCGTCTGCAGGCGGGGTGGAGGGGGCGTATGGGAGGCGCATGGTGCAGTGTGATCTTTTTGAATATGGTGGAATGTGTATCGAGTTGAATGCTGAATGTGTTGTTGAGATGAATTATGAATATATGATTATATCTGGTGGAATTGAGTTTAGCCGCGGGTATTGATTCTTCCTCGATCTGCACTGCCGTCATGGAATGCCGTTCCCCGCATTATGAAGTATGGAGAGAAATATCATCTCAATGTAGTTCACATTTATGAATTATGTTACTTTGATATTCAATTGGTCTTACCTCTGTCAACATGAAGCATCACTTGGTGATAGGCACGTGGACTCCGCCAGGTCGGCTGTACACCGTCGCATTCGACGACGAGGCCTTGACTTTGGAGTTGGTCAAGAAGACAGAGATTCCAGAGGATGAGCCAATCTCATGGTTGACTATTTCTGTATGTATCCAACCTCTTCAACTGACATTCACTAATGTTGTCCAGCATGACAAGAAAACCCTCTACGGAGCTGCCATGAAAAAATGGAACAGCTTCGCCATCAACAGCCCAACAGACATTGTACACCAAGTCGCCCATCCTCTTGCTGGTCACCGTATGCACGTATCCATCTCTGCGCTGTCTGACTGATGCTGATATGAGCTACCAGCTCTGGCCTCCAGTAGCGAAAGCAACACCCGCGCCATCTTCGTCCTGGCCGCGCACAAACCCCCTTATAACGTCTACGGCGCGCCCTTTTACAACTACGCGGGCTATGGCAATGTCTTCTCCGTCGACCCCTCCGACGGCCGTCTGGTCAAGAATGTCCAGAACTACGAGTACCAGGACAACACAGGCATCCACGGCATGGTCTTCGATCCCACAGAAACCTACCTCTACTCGGCCGATCTGCAGGCCAACAAGATCTGGACCCATCGCAAGGACGCTCAGACTGGCGAGCTGACCCTCGTCGACTGTCTTGAGGCCCCATCGCCAGATGACCACCCCCGTTGGGTCGATATCCACCCCAGCGGCAAGTATCTGTACGCACTGATGGAGGCGGGCAACCGGCTGGCGGTGTATGTGATTGACGAGAAGCGCAACGTCCCTGTCTTCACTCACATCACCTACCCATTGCTCCCTGCGGGTAAGTGTCATGACCAGCTGTCCGTCAATCCATACTGATGATCACTACAGGCGTCCCTCCCACAAACAAATACCGCGGTGATGTCTGCTTCACCACGCACAGCGGCGAGTACCTGTTTGCGACTACCCGCGGAACCTACGGCCGCCCCTGGACCGGATATATCACAGCCTTTAAGCTGGGTCCTAATGGTAACGTTGAACGACAGCTGTTCATCCACCCCACGTCCAACAGCGGTGGTCACTCCAATGCAGTCAGCCCTTGTGACTTTAGCGATGAGTGGTTGGCGCTGTGCGACGACCAGGACGGGTTCGTGGAGATATATCGCTTCAAGGATGAGACGCTGGCCCGGGTAGCTAGGCTGGATATTCCGGAAAAAGGATTCGGGATGAATGCAGTTTGGTATGATTAATGAGATATAGAATTCAATAGAGAGGATTATTCAAATAGTAAAGATCTAACGTGCTGTGTCTCTTCAACAATGTAATGGTTGTGATGCTACGACAGTCACGTGGTTGGGTCGACTTATCCCTTTTCTCCTCGTCAGAAGAACCGAATCTTCGTCTACTCATCATCCCATCCATCAAAAACCGAGAATGATGCAAATTCACTCATTTTCATTTTATTAAGATGAATGAGGACAGTATTTGATAAGATGGCATGAGATGACTAACAGCGGCATTGCCAGACATCGGGTCTCCGGTCGGCAGTCGAGATCGGCGTCGAGTGCGTTCCGAGGGGTCTGGGGTAGACGGCGCCTGTGTTGTGAGTCTCATTCCTACCAAATAAATGTCCTTGATCTTATTCACTTGTCTTGCTTTGCTCTTCATCATACAATTACTCATTGATTGTTGATTATTTACAGAACATGATGGCGACCCCCGGCCTACTCTACGTCACAATGCAACCCCGCCCGTCTCTCCCCACGGCCCAATTCCACGACTGGTACAACACAGAACACGGTCCGTTGCGTCTACGCTTGCCCTTTGTCACCAATGGCTTCAGATACAGAGCCACCGATGGCCTCGAGCCGGAATGGGTTGCTCTGTACGATATTACTGACATGGTGGAGCTGACCCGCGAGACGTACCTGGCGCTGCGAGGCGACGGCATCAAGACCCCACGCGAGAAGACCACCATGGCTCAAATTGCCGTCGATCGCCGACTCTACGACCTGCTGGACGATCAGAAAGCCCCCGACTACCGTCCTCTCGAGGATGAAACCGACGCCGCCTCCGCGGGCTCCGTGCTCATTGCCGTGTCCGTTGTCGTCCCCGCGGACCAAGAAGACGAGCTCAACCGCTGGTACCGCGAGGAGCACTTTGGCATGCTCTCCCGCGTGCCTGGCTGGCGTCGCTCTCGCCGCTTCGTCACAGCAGCCATCGACCCCAACGCCCCTCGCGAGTTCCTTTCATTGTACGAGTACGCCGCAAAGAACGGACTCGAGGGCCCCGAGCACAATGCTGCGAAGAACACCCCCTGGAGCAAGCGGATCAGCGAGATTGCCATCAGCAAGAAGCGCCGGGTCTACGAGTGGGCTTACACCTTTGGACCAGCCCCGCGCGAGCTCGCCTCCCTTGCCTCCAAGGAGGTCGTCGGGCCCTGGCACTCCAATGACAACCGCACGCGGACGTATCCCTCCCCCGCGCGTCCTGCAGTGGAGTCATACGTGACAACCAAAGACGGAGTCTCACTCCCTTACCGGCTGGAGGGCAGCACGGACCCCACCGCCCCGGTCATTGTCCTGAGCAACTCCATCCTGGTCGACTGGAGCATCTGGGACGGTTTTGTTGATGCCTTCCTATCCAACCCCGAAATCCAAAACTACCGGATCCTACGCTACCTCACACGCGGCCGCCTCCGCGACTGCGGCGAGACACCCATCACCATCGACGTCCTGGCCTCGGACATCATCGCGCTGCTGGACGCGCTCCGCATCCCGCAGGCCACGCTCATCGGGGTCAGCCTCGGCGGCGTAACGGTGCTGAACACGGCGCTGCTGCACCCCGCGCGCGTGACGCGGTTCATCGCCTGCGACACCAACAGCTCCGCGCCGGAATCGAACCGCAAGGCGTGGACGGACCGGCACGCAATGGCCGCCAGCGAAGGGGCCGTGTCGCCTGACACGCAGGAACCCATTATTGGGGAAAAGCTGGCGGAGGCGACCACGCGGCGGTGGTTCGTGCCCGAGACGTACGAGACGCAGCCGGAGGTCGCGGCGCGGGTCAAGGAGGTGGTGCGCGCCAACAGCCTGGAGGGATTCCACAAGGGCATGCAGGCGCTGTGTGCGTACGATGTGCGGGAGCGGATGGCGGATGCGCGCGTGCCGGGACTGTTTGTGGCTGGCGAGGGCGACGGCGTGCTGCCGCAGACGATGCAGAAGATGGCGAGTGACCTCAACGGGGGAGCGGAGCTGAAGATCATCCCCCAGGCGGGTCATCTGCCGATGGTGGAGCAGCCACAGGCTTTTACAGAGGTGGTCAATAGTTTCTTGCATCAGTAGCTTGCTTGCTTGCTTGCATATTATGTCTATAGCATCTGAGGCTGAATTAATTAATGACAAATGAACTTCATCATAGCATTACTATACATGTTCTCTCACGCTGGCCGACTTGGCCTCGGAGGTCTGCGTCACCTCGAACGTGCGGTGGATGCCCGACAGTCCCATGTCTCCGCCGTCTGCCACCGGCCGCTCGGAATTCAACCGCTCCTCGCTGCTGTTCTCGCTTGACCCCCTCCACGGACTATCCGGCGCATGCACAGTCGTCACAGTCGTGGCTAGTTTATCCGGGCGGAACCGACCCCCGGCATCCGTATCTAACGATCCCAGCGGCACGGGACGATCGCGACTAGGCCCGAGGCGGCGCGAGGACGACTGCCCGGGCATCGGGGACATGTAATCGTCGGTGGTGCTGGAGCCGCGCAGCATGCGAAGCAGCGGACGCAGGGTCGCTAGACTACCGGCGGAAATACCCAGACCGACTTCGATGTTGGACCAGAGCGCGATATCGACGGTGGCATCTACACAGCCACCAGTTAGCAGAGCGCTATCCGATAGGACGATGAGAAACTTACAGAGGAAGTCTGGATCCGCAAAAGTGCCAACCCAGGGGATACGGATGATCACGGCCGAGGAGGCACTACATCATGGTCAGTTTGCTGTCGCAGGAGGTAGGGCTGTCAACCGGGGTGATGATGGACATACATGCAAGCCATACTCAAAATCCCAATAACCGCAATCTTGGTCTGCCGGCGCATGTGCAGCTTGCGCACCATGAAGATAGGCAGAATACCCACGGTGAAATCACACAATGCCGCAAACGCGCTGTAGACGTAGGTCATGGCGATGACGATGTGGATGTCGATGCAAGAGCCCGGGATGGACGGGTCGAGCGCGGTGCGGGTCCAGAAGTACTCGATGGGCTTGCACTGCAGCAGCATGATGAGCATAAACGCCAAACCGGCGATGGCTGTGAGTGCGATGACGCAGTAGAGGATCCAGATGTGGAGGCGTTTGACGGTGATGCGGCGCAGGAAGATGCAGACGGAGACTTTGCAGCCGACTGAGGCCCAGCAGTAGGCGATTTCGCAGAGCCACCAGTACTTTTTTCCATTAGTTGTGTCGATAGGATGGATATGAGGAAGGGCGAGAGAAATACCTCCATGGCTGTGACGCGCTGATGGGCCGTCAGATCAGCGAATCTCCTGCCCGTGCCGTAGCGGGCTCCCCCGATCATACATGCGGAGAACATGAGGTACCATAGCTATGTCAGGTCAGTCTTTGAAAGACCAGTCAGAGGGTAGAAGGACGGAATACCATGGCAATGACCATGGCGCCATCATCCCAGCCAAACGCCTTGACGACAAATAATCGGACATAGCATCGCAGGATCACGGTTACCGAGGCTATGGCCATGAAGACGGCCGCAACGACCTTGACCTCGAGACTGCGGTCATCTTTGCTCGTAGTGCTCATGCTGGCTTAAGCATGTTGATATTATTGCAATGGAGATGAGATGAGACAAGTGGAGGGGGGGAATCCATCCATTCATATATACTGAGTCAAGGGCCACTCCAACTGTCCCACCAGCACCACCACCGAGGAAAACAGAATAGGAGAATCGCTCTCCTATTCTGGAACTTTTAACCCTGATCGGGGCATCCTAGCGTCCCAGAAAGTTTTAGTAACTTCACCGTTGGCACTTGGCAGTTAGCAGCGCTAGTTTTCTCCCCCCGTAGTCCGTTTTTGTTAGTCTGCTCCGTGCAGAGTCAGAAGTAAGCGTAGTGATGTGCATTGCCACTTGCCATTTCCATTGCTTTGCGCAGTCCGAGACTAACCAGTAGACTACGTACTGACTAACTGTGGAGTATGGAGACAGCCTATACGGAGTAAAGCACCCAGCAATGTCGGTAGAGGTCGTAAGTTCATACCTGTAGACTACTCCAGAGCAAGGCCTGAGCGGCAGGTTTCTTGGTTTCTAGAAGCGACAGGGGTAATCAATCAAGACTAGATTACGCACGTCTATTGATGAATCTGCGGAGATGAGGAGATATATGCATTATGACTATGATTATGGCATATGGCAACGGCATAAGGGTATTATGCATTTGCCGCAAAGTCAGAGACAGAGTGCACTGACTGTTTAGTGTTGCTGCGGCTGTTTCAGCGGCCAGACCCGTTCATTGGTATTATTGAGAGAGTAGACTAAGATTCTCTCAATTCTCGACTACTTATAAGATCGTCCTCCATTACCAATTGCAACAGTGCAATGCTCTGTACGGAGTACCGAGATTCATCCTCATTGTGGGAAATGCATCCCCTTGGCAAAGACGGGGCTCGCCCTAACTCTAACACTAACACTAAACATGCTCCACTGTGTCTCAACATTTCTCCTGTTGGAGTCGAGACCGAGTCATGGACTTTATTATGGTTGCAAAATGATACGTATTCCCAGTCTCTGCAATAAGTGCGTATCCCCGTCATGTGGATGTCGACTAGGCTGATCCTGCAGAAGCCATTTTACTCTCTAATCAAGCCATAAACATAAGCATTCAGAGCATATCGATCCTTTATTTATCGTCATCATTCTTATCATCTTCTTTTATCAGCTTATTCCTCTTATCTTCATTATCGTCACTAACTGTCGTGTTCTTCTAGCGGAACAGCCACTTGCTGATCATCATTACCGTGACCGTTGGGCTGCAATTCTCGTCCAGCAATATCTCAAGCAGACTAGTATTCACAATAGCTTTGTGGTAAACGCGCAAGTCGACCTGCAGACTATCGCCGATTTGATTCGGAATCCTTTTTCTATTCATATCCTCGGGATAAACTCGTTCAGGGGCAGACCAGTCCTGCCCTAGATGGAGTCGAATTCCCACCCATGTGGCTCGGACTCTTCAGCTATCATTCTATAAAGTCTATAGAGTCTATTCTCGAAGAATCGAGCCTACTTACACATTGAAATCGCATACTCAGTTGATTCCCAAAACCAGTCTCGTATTCCACTTTACTGAATCCTTGGGGGCGCTTCTCTTACTCGTTTAGGCCGAGATAGCGTGAAAGTCCAAGACACTATTATTATGATTGATCTGCAATAATCCCTGTCCAGACCATTTTGATCTTCATCTTCTTCGTCTTGTCTTCATTTTGACACCAATCGCTTGAACTTCGGGTTCTTCTGTCGGTGACCATGCAGTTGTATACTGAATAGAAGTGAAGCTACGGACGTTCGGATTAACATCGCCAAAGTGAATGCAATCCTCTGTATACGTTGGAAATAGTCTTCTAATGTACTCGAAAGAAGACATCGGGAACATATGGACAACGAGGCGGTCCCCGATGTCGTGATGCTGGCACAACCATGACGTCGTCGGGCACCTATCTCCATCGATCATGTCGTGGCATCAGAAGCAATGACAATGACAGCTCAGAATGGGCAGATTAAGCCCGAATCGCTGCTTCTCCGTTGGATACAGATTTCCATCCCCTCATCGACGAGTATCCCTCTATGCCAATGGTATGACAACCCCTCCACCTACCGCATCCCCCACAACTGATAGAACCAGGCAAACCAGCGACGGAAAAGGATCTGTTCGGGTACAACAAGGGCCGCTTCCTCGTTAACGAAGGATACGAGCTGGCGAAACGGTACTCGCCCTTTGACATCCGCGAACTCTGCCGCATGGTCTCCGCGCTGCCTCGCGTGGCCGGCTCGCCCATTAGCCGAATCGAGAAGAAGGAGGGCGGGTACAACAAGGCGCTGATGATGACCGCGGAGAACGGGACGAACATCGTGGCAAAGATCCCCTGTCGGAATATCGTGCCTCGATGGTACGGGACCGCGTCTGAGGTGGCTGTCCTGGACTTTGGTAGGTATCTCGTCTCGGTGACCTGGAGATGCTGACCGAGCAGTCAAATCGCACTCGACCACGCCCGTGTCGGACGTCCTCGCCTGGTGCGCAGACGACTCCAACCCCGTCCGTTCGGAATACATTGTCCTGGAACCGAGCGTCGGCAAGCAGCTCACCAAGGTGTGGGACAACCTAGCGGAACACGAGCGCGTGAAGCTGATTCGCAACTTTGCCTCGCTCGAAAGTAAGCTGGCAGCCAATAAGTTTCCTGGCTACGGTGCCTTGTATCTGCGAAACGCCCTCCCCCCGGCGCTGAAACAACCCGGCCGCACCATCGACGTGGATGACACGTACTGCCTAGGGCCGATGTACCACGGCTCCTGGCCAGGTGGATTCGCTGCAAATGCAGACGACTATGCAAAGTACTCAGGGCCATGTACGTCCTCCTCTATCTGCTTTGCTGAGTATACTGACAGCGATAGGGAGAACCCTCGCCGAGCTCGGCCGCGATCTCGCCCACCAAGGCATCTGCCAAGTCCGAAATTACAAGACTTCTTACGCCGGCCGGGGCCCGCACTACGGCACTCCCGAAGAACACATCCGCGTCCTCGAGACAGTCCTCCTAGTGATGCCGATCCTCACGGAAGCCGTCCCAATTCGCCGGCACACCGAGCCAGTCCTTAGCCACCCCGACTTTCACCCAGGCAACATCTTCGTCTCCGCCGACGACCCCACCGTCATCGCAGGCGTCATCGACTGGCAATTCACCTGCATCCTCCCGCGCTTCACCCAGGTCCGCTGGCCGCTGTTCCTCGCCCCGCCGGAAGGCTACCAACCCGGCACGCCCAACCCGGAACTCCCGCCCACCGACAACGACAACACGCAACAAGCGCAGGACGAGGCCCTTCGCGCCAAATGCTACGAGGCCGCACTCCTCAAGTCCCGTCTCGAATCATACCTCGCCCTCATCGAACCCGACGTCGCCATCCGCCGCCTCTTCACCTCCTGCCCCTTCACCTACCGCGACGGGATTCTGCCAGTACGCGACTGCCTGCTCAAGCTCTCGCAGCACTGGGCGCATTTGCAGGTGAGCCAGGAGTGTCCGTACCAGTTCACTGCGGCGGAGGTGGCAGAGCACGAGCACCAGATGGCTGAGTATGAGGGCTGGCTGAAACTGCGGGAGCATACGCACCAGCTTCTCCGGTCGAATGATGGCGGGTGGGTGCCGTCTGGAGTGGACTTTGAGGAGATCCAGGCGAGGCATGATAAATTGTATCGCCGGTTTGTAGAGACTAAGATGGAGCATATGTCTGAGGAGGATGCGAAGCGGCAGTGGTTCTTTCGTGATAGGGGGTAGTTATCCGTACGCCCTTCTCTGAAGGATGGAGGCTAGTATAAGTCGTGAAATGCAAGCTACGTTGCGAGTTACTATCGTAAGTAAAACCAAGTGTCTATTGTATTTCTCCCTGCTACTCGATATTGTCTGAAAGGTGAAAACGACTTGCAAATAGCAGCAACAGGATACAGTCTACTCCACCTTAGCCACTGCTTGCTCAATTCCCAGTCTCTCCTCCTTCTCCTTATCAAACGTCCAACTACCATACCCATACTCGCCGCATCTCCATCTGGAGGACAAGGATGCACGGCAACCGACGCTCCCTCAAGGTACAGACCCCCCTCCCCTCCAACTCACTAGACACCACCTCATAAACAGACGTCGCACACGCCTGCCCCATACTAGACAAATACTTCCGCATCTTTCCGTCATTCAAAAACGCATCCATTTCTGCCCGTGAATACTTCTGCAGATTCGGGCTAACAAACGCGCAGGATGCATACTATACCCAAGCAGACCCTTGTCCCCAAACAACCGCTCAGTCTGGTTGCTCATGTAGATATTCGCCGTCTTGCTAGACCCATACGCCAACCACCCGTTAGTTTTCCTCGAAATGATATTCTCCAGCTGGACAGGCCCGTACCGATGGCCCGCCGAGGGGACGTTCACGACGTGCGAGTGGAACGCTGCGCTGGAACTCTCCAGCAGGAGATCTCTCAGACACCAAAATAGCAGAAAATGTGAGAGATGGTTCGTCCGAACTGCGTCTCGAAACTGTCCTTCGTGCGCCCCTCGGGTGTATGAGAATTTCGCGCCGGGCTTGATTTCCTCCCTGCCGAATCCCAAGACTCTTCGTCTCACATTCAGCCGACTTGGCGAGTTGAACCTTGAAGGGCTGCTTTCGTCTTGTAACGGCTTACGCAGCTATTATTCTGAGGCCACTAATTGCCCCTTTACTGGATATAACGGTTCCTATGACCGCAGCGATCACTTTCAGCTGTCAAATGCGGTGCGATATCTCAGCCGCCACCTTCCCCTAAGCATCACATCGCTACATCTATCGGGCCATATCGCGGATGAGCTTCCTCGCCTGGAGGAAAGTCTGCTGGGCCTTGCTCACGCTGCTTCGAGCGGCCAATCCCCGGGGCTGGCGCAGGTTAGATTAGATCAAAAGGAGAAACTCCATAGTGAGTGTATTGTGAGGGCTATGCTTGCAGCTGCCGGGGTCAGCTTTGGTTATGACAGGTGGCCGATGAGCAAGTCCACGCTCGGCGACGGTGGCCAGTCCCCGTCCCCCAATTATCTCAATGCATATCCGTTGCCGGACCCGGACGAACCCGGTCTTTGATCGTCGCGTGCGTTTGTTTGCAAGATCCATGCCAATGAACCCCTGTCGAAATGTAACTACATCAAAGCATCATGCTTCTCTGTCCCCTCTACAGGTACAAGCCACTCTCTCCGCCTCGCACAGAAGACCTCCATCTTGGGCTCCCACTCGCTCTTCGCAGGCCCTAGATCCATGGTCCCCGAGGTGACGGTCACCGCAGTAGGGTCTATGGACTCGCTGCTGATAAACAAGGGCGAACCACAGTTCGAGCAGAATGACCTCGACAGCGGTTTCCCCGATCCCGTGCTCTTGTCGTGGTAAACTCTCAGGGCATCTTCTCCTGCGAGAACCTGTAGTTGCTATTCGATGGATTAGCTGACTGCAGTCATTCCTGGGCGGAGGCACGTCACGTACGTTTTTCAGGTAGAAGCCGTTTGCCATGAAGGCTGACCCTGTGCTTTTGCGACAGCTGTCACAGTGGCAGATGATGGTTGTTCTGGGGCAGCCGGTCACTTTGTAGCGGACTTTCTGGCAGAGGCAGCTGCCGGTCACGACGTCGGGGGTGGACATGTAGATGCGGGCACAGTGGGTATATTCTTTGATGGTGGGTGAGAAAACAAGGAGAATCACTGATTCAATCTTGATGATAGTCCAGTGAAGACAGTTTTGGTTTTGTAACCTTGGTCAGACAAGGCTGACATGGCGGGGCAGACATCTACAAAATGATGGTCGCCTAATATGACGCAGTTGGTGGAAACTATGCGAAATACATAGCATAGCTCTCGAATATACTAGAAGTGACTAGAAAGAAGAAAGCAAAGAGGTTGGCGAGTCTATTGGTTAACAACGCTCGGCAGTCGTCCGATCAAGTTACACAGGAATAGGCAGTTTCCCTCGTTCGACTAACCTTCCATCTCGTCAATTTGATCAATTTCGTGAGCAAGTCGCTGAGATATTTGATGATATCCTAATCATCGATAGTGATCTACTAGATTACGCGTTGGGTTGCGTATATTAACGATGCATCTGCCTTCCTCTTTGCCACATAGGGTATACATTTCGCCTAGATACACACGTGTTTGAGAAGAATCAAGCCTGTATGAGCTTTAATTATTCTTTCGGAGAAGTGTAATACTCTCGAATTCAGGGTCTATAGAGTATATCCTGGAAGCGTGCATATATCTCTAAGGATATCTAGCCCTATGAAGCCAGATACCTCAGCAAGCTTTCCTCCAAGCAGATAAATCCACAGTTGACACCACAGTACTCTATATACCTCAACTGGACCATGAGTTACATTGCTGATAGCCATACATCTCACTAGCGAGGTTTCCTTCAGAATGTGATTCACTGAGGAATGCCAGCTCGCCTTGAGACAGCATCTGATCGAACACAGAAGATGACGAACTGAAGAAATAGTCGTCTACACCTGATAACGTCGCCTCCTGTCCAGGTGCAGAGTCTATCCCGTACAGGGACATTGAGCTACGATGAGGAGTGGGTCCTTGTGTGAGGTTGGATCGCTTCTCGAGAACCCCGTCATCTACAGGCGCCAATGAGCCTGGTTCACTGATGAAGGTCTGGGATAGCAAGACAAACTCATGGAACAGCCGCTGCAATGTGGCAATCGGTTGACTGACTGTCCCGCTTTGTATCAAGCAGTTCGCGACCGTCTTTAAAAGGTGAAAGTCGCCTAGATGGGATGTCGCGACGGCGTTGCAGAACAGGACGAAACAGGCGGTCAGAGGATAGTAGAGCAAAGTCCTGAGGATTTGTTAAACACGCCAAACTGGTGGGATGAACAAACTAACCAGTGCAGAAAGGCAGCAGTCCTTTGCTGATCGCTTGGTCGGCACAGACATACCAGTGCCGAGAGTTCCTGGCGAGCTGACTGGAGGTAAAGCTCTCCAGCGCCATGGATCTCACCCGAGTTCACTTGGGTTAAGTGCAGGATGGTGGTCATGATTGAATGATAACCGAAATCAAGCGCCGCGACTTCGCAGCGGACATCCAGGCCTTTCCACTGCGGCGAGGGAGGTGAGACCTGGCGACGGTCGAGTCAGCATTCAGTCAGTAGCACCGATAAATGGACTATGGGAGTACCTGGTCTATCTTGCGCCGAATTCTATCCATTTTCAGGAATAACTGGATTCGCGCATGACTAAAGGATTGGCCTGCCGTTTCTCTTTCCGAGAAAGATTCGTCATTGAGGAAGGGAATCAGCACACTTTGTACATGCGCCAACTCCATGTAAATGGAGAAAAGCTCAGAGACTGGAATATCATCGATGCCTGGTACAAGGGTGACGAAACCGCCGGATCTTCCAAGCTTCCAGGCATAGTTTCTGTCAAGCATATAGCACCACATGGCGCAGAAGTACTCTTCTTCAGTTACACCTTGCGAATTGGCGGCTGCATGGAGGCGGAGATCGACGCAAACCCTACAAGCAACGCGCGTCAAATCACAGCACAGCTTAGTCTCGCCTGACCCCTGGCATAGGAAAATCTGCTCCCTGTCAGATCGTGACAGAAGTAACGGATGTTTTATGACTCACACCGCAAAGGGTGGCCTGTAAAAGAGAAAGTGAAGGTGATGTCAAGAGTGGGATTCTCCTCAACGCAGCCTGGGCAGTTCGCTTGTACTTCGAAGCGCGTTCCCGTAGCATCTGGGAGAGCTCGCCATCATCTTCATCCATCAACAGGCAATTTATGAACTTGTAGGCCATTGAATTGACGCAGACCGTGTAAAGGACAGTGTCATGGGGAGATGCAGTCTTGCGAAGAAGCGACAGTCCCATATGCTTAAGTGTTGATCGAGACACGTGTTTGAAGTAGTCCAATACAAATGATCCGAATCTGTCGCCTCCAAGATCTATGAGATTAAGTCAGTGGACCATGCTATCAAAGAGTCCAAGGAACGTAAACCATTGTACCATTCAACATCCAAGTCAGAAACTCAATGGACGGGATGTCTGGTTGTTCCTCGCCGTATCCTCTGACGTTTAGAGGGCTCACAGAACCACCAATACTTTGTGAAAGATGGCTTGCGACATAGAATGCTGACTCGATGACTTGGATCCTGTTCCAGGCAAGACCCTGTATACGGTCTAGTGGGCGCTGTTTCGTCAACTGAGCATCTGTTAGCGGAACTAACAAGATCCATCTATGGAGCTCTTGCTCTCTATCTGGATCTTGGTAATTCCCCTGTTCTGCGATCTTGAGCGACATTTTGTAGTTGTCCATGTTGGAAAGGATGTTAGCTGTTGTAGACGTGTCGCTTTGCCGAACTATCTCAAAGATAGAACCACCACGAGCGTCAGGTAGGAGCGGAATGGGTGAAGTCCGGCTCGACTGAGGCGCACTGCTTGTCATTCGTGCGTGGAGTGAGATTCTTTTTGGTAGTCGTCTCCTGCTCCGTCGGCGAGTACATGCAGTTCGTTGGTCCTGACAATTCCCACAAGGGTCATTCCTGTCACATCGCACCTATAACAATGGTTAGAGCGCAGTTAGAATGATGCAGGGGATAAGTTCCTAGGGGGATGTCCATGGCTGAACAACTGGACATGGATTCTGAGATATCCATACTTTTCTAGAATGACATGCGTCACACTCAGAAAATATTAGCAGAAAAATCCCTAATGTGTCTAGGAGGACATACCACCGAATAGTGCTGAGACCGCAGCCAGCATACGCCTGAAGAAGCCATTGTTCTTATACTTTTCTTTTCCTTTGGATTCAAAATTCCCGGTCTGTTGAAGTCTCTCGATTCTCGGTCATACAAACCTCGAATTACCCCCGTCCTCTTATGGATGGTTGTGCTTCGATAGACACGCTCGATTAATCCAAGGATCCATATTACTAGATGTCAATGAAACACGGCAACTGACAACGGGAGAGGTAAGTAACATCAGCACCGAGAAGCTAAAAACTCTGGGGAGAGGATCCAGCCTGCATCACAGTCGGAGATTGCCGACACCAGGGCTGATATAGTGCAGCTAGGTAGCCTGGAAATAGCCACCATTCGTTAGGTTTTGGGACTTGGGCTCCAGAATTACGCCGAGCCAGTCATTGTGAAGAATAAATATAGTCGGCTTTCGGACACTTGGCATTCGGGACCCTCAGTCTTTAAGTGGAGATATCGCGGCCCATCTGCGCTTCATCATCGTCAAGATAGAAAACTGCGACACAACAGCATCGTCGTTTAGATGAGCTGAAACTCTCAACAGGCCTCCAGATGAGGGAATGGCAGTGAGATGTCTAGAAATCTATTTGTTATATTATCCATTTAGTTTTACATTAAATAAGAAAGATTCTAGCTCATGATGTTGTGTCTTTCTTTGGCAATCTGCACTGCGATATATCTTCTCTTGTCCGGTCCAGTAGAAGTTGATCTTTGGAATAGTTCAGACTCGTCTGCTGTCACATAAGCCCATTGTCTTGACACTTGCATCTTCATGTTGTCCCTCTTAGGACCCTCCTTGTCGTTGCCTTCTAGAATGGACGTCCAAATACAACTGGATAAGAGGGAAGCAACCTATACAAACCAGGACACAGTCTCTGGCCGCCTCATTCTTCATACCAGATCATCAGTCGATATATCAGCGATACAAGTTACTCTCTCTGGCTCAGCATTATCCAGACTGGACTCGGGGAGGCGCACGGAGTCGCACCAGGCAGGTTCTGGCTATGGAATGAGCGCGACCTGTGCTAACCATCCTCTCAGTTGTTTCATAAAACGCAGCGAGTCTTTCCTCCTCCTTCTCAAGGAAACCTCGACATGGCTTCGTTCACTCTCGGTCATGGAACATATGTCTTTCCATTCTCCATCCAAGTAGGCAATGTGCCCCTGCAGGAGATTTGAAAGTCTGTCGCTAACAACTCTTTGCAATCTCTAGTTTCCTCAAGTCTCGGAATGCTATAGAACCAGCACGGAGGGAAATCGCTCTCGAGGCAGTTGTGGGAACCTACCGAAAAAGAATCGCCAAACTACACATTTACTTCGGAGACTTCCACCCTCCACTATTAGGGATCGAGAAACCGCGGGAGAGATTAGCTACACGCTAAAAGCAATCATCAGAACTGGTGCAATAATCAGCGGATCAGAGATCATCACAGTTGAGCGTCCCATGGCCACCATTACTTTCATAAGCTAAAGAGGAAAAGAGAATAGCTATAAAGCTAACGATCTAAATCTTGTCTAGTCTCGAGGTATAACCTTCTATCCGGTTACCGACTTCAACCCTCCCTCACATACCCTCATTGAGAGACATTCAGTCATCCTCGACCCAGGAAATCGCGAGAAACCCATACCGACAAGTTATCAGATTGATATCCGACTCTCAGACGGAGCTTGTCTCCTCCTCGGTGAACCAATCCCCCTGACGATATATATGACGAGAATCACCGGACCCGGCTGCGACCTCATCCTGAACGACTTCCAGTCAATGCTCATCGAAACAACCGAGGTACGAGCACATGGATCCGCCGAAAGCAGCATGCAACTTCACGTCCTGCAAACAGTGAGCAACGTGCGCAAACAAGCATATCCCTCTGGCGCACCAGCTGGCTCGACAGTGAGCCTTGATGACGACCTGTGGAGACATCACCGGGTACCGCACTCACTGACACCGACGTTCGAAACCTGCAATATCAGCCGCAGTTACAAGCTTCAGATACGCCTTGGCTTCAGGTTTGGGTTTGCAAATGTAAGGCGATCCCTTTTCACTCCTTGTTCTTTTCAATCAGGACTGAGACGTGGCTTGCTCTGATTTAGGTCCTGACTAGAGTTCTGGAAGTCGAGTTTCCGGTATACGTTGTGGCAGCTTGTCGTGCGAAGAACCCGCCTCGAGCTTCTTAGCTTTTGGGCAGCATGCAGCAGATAGCTTACGGTTGGCACAAAGCACTGAAAGATGTGATGGACGAATCTGATCCGGCTGATGGAAGATCTGTATATAAGTCCCCCGCTTGAAGAATATCAGTGGCAAAGCTTGGATTACAGATCTGGATACGATCTAAGAAGCAGAGCCATGATTGGCATTATTTCTTTACCTGAAGGCCGCGACGGAGCAGTGGTTCCTACGAGTTAGAATCGGTCACGGACCAATGCTGGGGGAAAACGGATTAAATCTAAGGAACCGACTGCGCCAGCGACTTTTAGACATGATCCGCTATAACACCGCGAAGTCTTCAGTGTTTGCCGTAGAGGTTTACAATCTCACTAAGTAGCCATCCGGTCATCGGCCCAGCGCCGTCAGTGTGATAGATGCTTTGTCTGGCTCCGCAAATATAAAATTCCCCAACAACTGTGACTCGTTGATTCTAGGCTAACTACCAGGTACTACATCTGTCGCGGGAGCATCTAACTCCGCAGCTTCTCTAGTATGCCCTCATTTCATCAGTTGTAGGTGAATTCCACCCGTCCCATGGAAAGCGCTGACAGGGCATTACCCCAATCGACACATTATGTCTCAGACCCAACCTCCTTCATGTTGAGTTTGATTAAGATGGCTCGATCATTGCTTTCTTATGAGATCTGCATTGGGTCTGTGTGTTGAGCTGCTCCTGACGTTGGTGAGGAACGGGACCTATCTCTTTGCGGTGGGAATAAACGAAAGTGAACAACAGATAGAAGGCTGCAGGGAGAAGGTTGGCTTTTATGAGTTCAAGGTTCCCGCGGCATGAAGACGGTCCCTATTATCGTCATACTTGCCCCAGGTCGATGCAACCGGACACCAGAGCCCGAGGTCTTTGCGGTATGCTTATCGTCCTGCTGGAGCTGTTCTGTGGACGGAGAAGCATGGTGGCAACCATACCTTTCAGGAAGACTGCAGTCAGGCGGCCTCAGTAGGCATGTGATTCTTGGCAGGATTATCGGCCACCTCGCCTCAAGGCTCTGCCGTAATCTGCATATGCTTCTTCTTGCCCTTGGTGTATACACGCTGATCGTTCGGGTCGAATCCACCATTACCCCACAGTGCCCAGTCCTCGGTTTCCCTCATGTAGTCTTCGGGGGTAAAAGACGTGCCATCGGCCTTCTCCTTCTCCAAAAGCTCAAAGAATCGATCGTAATCGATCCGAGTGTGCCATTTACCATTGACGTGGAACCGTTCCGAGGCAATCAGCACACAGCAACTGTGCGCATGCTCCGCGGCGATGCCATACTTCAGGCCACGGCGCTGCAGTTCGGCGTTGAGAGCAGTGACGAACTGGGCGACTTCTTCGTAGAAAGGTACGTTCTGCATGGTCAAGCCAACTCCAGCAGTGGTGCTTGTGCCACAGAACGTCACACCTTTTATTTCGACGAAACATGGAAGTGCCTTTTCCACCAGATTTGCGTAGCCGATGACTTCATCATCGATATTGAATCCCTTGACCAAGGTAAGACGGAAAACAGTGCGCTGGACATGGCGCTTCTCCCGTAGAATGTCTAAGCAACGTTGGAAGCGCTCCCAGAAATCCCGATGCAGAGGACGATCAATCTTCCGTAGACTCTCACGGTTGCTTGCATCGATGGATACGTATAGTTGAGTTACGCGACGCAGAGCTTCGAGCTGATCAGGATGTTGAGCATTGCATACCAGAAAGCTGGAGATGTGTTCGCCGTGCAGCATGTCCAGGAACTCATTGATGTGAGGATAGAAGATCGGTTCGCCGACCAAACTCAAGGCACAGTGTCGGATGCGCATGGCCTCTGCGAATCTCTCGGCTCGCACACCAGGAACGCCACGCATCATCTTGATCTTCTTGTAATGGCCCTCCTTGACTCCCTGGAAGATCAATTCCGGAGAATCCACTTTCCAACGCCAAGTAGTTCCGACCGGGTTGGTACCGTGGCGCCAGCAGAAGACACACTTATTGCTGCAAGACAGCGACGGTGTAGCCTCCATGCAAAGATGCGATCGGATACCGTAGAAGGAGAACTTGTAGCATGAACCTCGGCCACGCAGCGCAGATTTAGTCCAACGGCAGATCTTGACTCCAGAATGAGACCCGACGATCGTATAGCCTTGTTTTGTTAGAGCAGCGTATGTCGGTGATGTCTTTGGAACCATCTCCTTCTCGGTCGATTGAACAGAGGAAGATTTTCCTGTGGTTGTGAAATCCACGGGGATTGGCGACCCGGCCGCATTCTGATCACCTCCAAACTTGATGTCCTCCAAGTCCATGACGTTTTGAGTATTGTCCTTGTCTGTGTCTTCGTCGTCCAATTCCTCGTCACTCTCAACGGGATCACCACTGCCAGGTACGCCTTCTCCTAGTCCACCATTCTCGAGAATGTCAAAAAGGATGTCTTGCAATCCCTGAGACCACTCTTTCAAGGAGGATTCAGCGTCACTTTTAACATCACCCAATCCCAAAGGATATGCTCGTTTCCGCCTCGTTAGTTTGGCCATCCATTTGTCCAGCTCTTTGGCTTGAGAGCAGAAGCCTTCCTCCTCGGTAGGCCAGCCTTCCTTATCACCAAATCCGAAAACAGAGTAACCGGCGAGACTTGACAGAGGGCCTGTGTCGATGCGGAAGTCATTATGAGTCTCGTTAAGGTGGTCAAGGAACGTATTCAGGATACTGTCGATGTTGTAGGTAGGGATCAATAAGCAGTATACGTAGCGTGTACCGGGTGAGTTTGGCGGAGGCTTCGGTGCAGAGGTGAAGTAGTCGTCGAGATCGATATAGGAGAGGTCGTGAATCTGAGGGGGTAGAAGGCCACGCTCGCGATCCTGCAAATCAGCCCGCTTTTGCGCCGCAGCGCGCAATTCCTCCAGCAGTATTTTGGCATATCTTTCGGTGTTGCCAGTCAAAGAAGCGTAAAAGATGATGGGTTGGATGAAGGCGAGGGGCTCCGCATCCTCTGTTTGTCCTTGTCGTCCAGCAACCTTCAATGGCTTTTTACCGGTAACTCTCTTCGGACCTGAAGTGGCTTTTGCTGAGCCGTTGGCCACGGCGGGTTGCCGTTCAGCCTTCTGTGTCGTTGCTTTGTTGCTGCTCTCAAGCGAGACGCCTTTCTCTGTCTTTTCGGGGGATGGGCTTCGAGGTGATGGCGGAACCGAAGACGAGGCAGTGGTTTTCGTTCTGGACTGAAGTTTGCGGTAGAATTGTAAACCCACAAAGACGGTTGAGAGAGCCACCAGGAACAGTAGACGGTACGAGTGCCAGAAGGCCAAAAGACCTATAAACGAACAATCGGTCAGCATGATATTGGTGGGAGGGTCTCGTTTTGTCAAACCTTCAGCTGTGGAGTGCTCTGCCATGATGATTCCAATGAATCAATAAACAGCAGTGCAAACCCGTTTCTTTTTAAGTTGTCGCGTGAATATGTAGTCGCATTCGCAGAGAGAAATTTGAGAAGGCGGGATAAAATTGACTGGACCAAGTGCGGAGAAGCCAAGAGGGGCACAAATCGGGTCTCTCTGTTTGTAAGCAGCTCCGAGCATTCAGAGATGGAAGTGAGCGAGTAGTACTCCGTACTTGCACAAATGACGAGTCAACTGGATATTTCAGTTTTCAAGAGCTTTTTGATCAAGGAGGTGGCTGTCAGGCTGTTGTGAGGATAACTTTTCCTATTCAGATCGACTCTGATTGGCTGCTCTCGTTATGTGCTTGCTGGGTTAAAGGTAGACACCTCAGGCAGGAATCAGGACCCGAAGGATCATTCCAATTCGTACTCCGAAATAAAATAATAAACAGTAATCGTTATGTCCTTGCTATCCTCGTCCTTTGAAAGGCAAAATCAACCGAGATCAGATACATGTTCGCTGCATGATAAGTCCACCTAACAAATGCTTCCGTCCCTTGATAGTCAACCTCAGACCTGAGAGAAGGAATTTAACGACCTGTATTGCACAAACACTGATGGCCTACATCGATTATCTTCGAGAGCGTATTAATTGCTCTGGTGTACATGGAAGATAGGAAAGAAGTCATGATCAATCGTATTTGTCAGCCCAGCCTCGCCCCTAGTGCTGTCACTACCGTGAGTGTACCCGATTTCTTTGACACGATCTTCTTGATATCGATTGACCTGTATGGCTTACCATCAGAGGTCTAGCATGATGTCTGTCGAGAAGAAGCAATCCCTTGAGAGCTTCTCAAATGATGAAGAGAAACAATTGGGATTTCCGGAAACACGTCCTTTGCTCGCTATCTTCGACGTTTGGCTGTGACGCTCATAGTGGCATGCCTTGTTGTTTTCACGATGGTATCTCGCCGATTGAGCGCGCCTCTTAGCATTGATCAGAGGGTTGACAAGATTCTGTCAGGCATTCCAATGATTGGTACAATATCCTTCTAATCTAGCGGGGCGAGTATGCTGACGGCTATGTAGATGGGCACGATGATCTTCCAATCTCCATTCGGGCTTTTTTCAACGACAAGATTTATGCGGACCAATTCACTGTTCCTTTTACCCAAGGAAACCTCAAAGGTCATGTTGACCTGCGGCGGCTTTCAAAGGGCAAAGTCGGCGGTACCTCTTGGAGTGTGTATGTCGAGTGTCCTAAGAATTGGGAGGATTTCTCTGATGCAACGTATACGACGAGTAGGCATTTTAAATCCTTGGATTTCAGACCCACTGCTAAACTGATTAATAGGCGTTCGTCAAACATTTGAGCAAGTCGATCCCATGTCGCGCCTAGCAAACGCCTACCCTGACACATTTTCATCGCCTCCGAATGGAACAACCGCACTTCAAGCTTTCCTTGATGGCAAGATCATTTCTCCCTATGGAATTGAGGGCCTGCATCTATCGGTAACTTGTTGGCTCTGTTGCGGAGTTTCTATAGCCTTGGCGTGTCATACGCCACACTGACACACAACTGCCATAATCGTTACGCGGATGCCGCTTTGACCGAACAGCACGGCAGTATCAAAAAGGCTGTTCCGCACTGGCATGGGATTAGTGAAGCCGGAAAGGATCTTGTCTATGAGATGAGCCGAATGGGCATGATAGTCGATCTCGCTCACGTCAGTGTGGACACAATGCGAGATGTCCTTGGTGCCGGTAAGGACAATTGGTTATGGTCAACTTCGCGCCCGACTTTATTTCGTGTTCTGCGTCGGACTACCCAGATGAGCTACCAAAGACTGATATGGAGCATGCTGCTCTTGGAAAAGTTGCGGACCACATTAAGCACATTGGTGGTCTGATTGGCTTTAAGCATATTGGTTTAGATAGCGACTTTGACGGTATCCCGACTGTTCCTCGAGGTCTAGAGGATGTGTCCAAATTCCCCGACTTGATCGCAGACCTTCTACGACGGGTGTCAGTGATGAGGATGCTGCCAAGGTCGCAGGGGGTAACCTACTACGCGTATGGAAGCGGGTCGACGAGGTCGCCCTGCAGATGCAAGCTGAAGGAGCTTTGCCGGTGGAAGACAATATAGTCTATGTTGCTTGATCGCGGCAACAGGTTCCTTCGCTTTTGGTCATTTCTAAGGCTGCGTATCAAAACCATGTAACAGTATCAGGACATGCTGCATAACACATCAGACATGATAAGATGTGCCAAACCTGCCCTCGCGAATTGCAAGCCTCAGGCAGCCCTTGCCTTTACGGTATCATCCTCACCCCCCTTAACCGATGTAATCCTCCTCAGCAATTCAAACCCCTTCAACAAATTCCAACCCTGATCTTTCAGAAACTTATACTTGCCCTTTGACTCTAGACTCTCACGCACCTCCTCCTCCGTCGCCCACTCAAACGCCTGATGCTCAGCCTGCTCCAACTTCACCCCATCCTCCCAGCGCTCCGGCGCAACTCCCACCACCACATCCTCAGACGGCACACCAGCCTTCCCACTCGCCTCATGCACCTCAACCAAAAATGAAAACTTGGCTACACGGTACAACTCATTCCGCAAAACCCGCGACCACTCATCAATCGCAATCAAATCAACAAATTTGGAAACGTGGAGCCCGGTCTCCTCGAAGACTTCGCGCGCTACACCGGCTAGCAGTGTCGCATCGGTGCGCTCGCACATCCCTCCTGCTCCTTCCCAGTGACCGGGGTAGGAGTCAGTGGCGGCGCGTTGGAGGAGCAGAACGCGCGTAACGGGCTTTTCGCTCGTCGATGCGGTGGCGTCATTGTCTTTTTCGAGGGATTGAGAATATACCAGTCCCCCGACGACAAAATCTGTTAGATGTGGTTTCGACGCGGCGAATTCTGGCAGAGGGACATTGTATTCGGCGAGATGAGGAGGGACCATGAAATCAGGAAATTGTGCCATGTCGGTCTTCGATGTGCGACAATATTGCGATGTTCATGTGTTTCGGGACGAGTTAATGGTCTCGAACTTTGAAAGATAAGTCCTCGGCCTTTTTGTTCTTCAGCTGAAGGTTGGATGACTCATGCTATACGAAAGCTGACTCGATCAATCTTCTCGATGGTATAGGCAGTCGTATTTACTTTATTTAGGTTTTGAGCCTCAGATGATGCAAATATCAAAAGAAACAGTCATCCTTCGACGAGAATGCGGGGTGGTCGAATCTTATCACCAGATAACGCCCACATCTTAATAGATCAACTCTTAAATACAAAGGAGTTGCCTACTGCTCGCCATCATTGATATATACAGGCTCATACACAAAACTATATACAAGTCGAAAAAGTCACTGTCATATGATTGCTATAATCAAGTCAATCACAATCTGCTTCCAGGCAGCTGGGGTATCAGGAAACCCGCAAAGAATTTTCCAATCTGCGTATAGTCATCCAGACTCGTCACGGCAGATACATCTGGACAAGAATTAGCATTAGCTACTCAAATTGCCAATCAGGTTCCTCACATTGATCTGGACGGACAATCACGATTGCGCCCTTCTCGGGACTAATCCCGAGGTGCTCATAGCAATGGCCATGACCCTTATTATAGCTTTCATCGTCGTAGTAGATTTTGTGAAGGTCTGATGATTGTTAGCATATCTTACTATGAAGATTTCTTAGGGGCTTTAAAGACCCGCCTTTGATTTGATGCTTCCCAGTCACAGGGTAGAAGCACTCGGGAATCTGTTCCAATTCCACGGCATGGCGTTTGCCATGACCCACCAGAATGGGCTCAATAAGGCTGTCGATATCTCCTCCCTTGGGGCGGAATGTCTGGATAGGACCCTCTGTTGAGCCGAGATAGTCACCGATCTACTACGAGGTCAGCAAGACTGCACGGCCTCACTATGGCGAGCGCCACCTACAGCTTTCAACTTTGTCCAAGTCTCGGCCGAGCTGATATCTCCAATGAAGACCATCACTCGCCAACGGCCGTCAGAATTGAGCGACTGAGCTAATTGCATGGGCTTCGAGTCACTGAAGCGAACGACTTGAGCACTGGGCAGTCTCATACCAACAACAACGTTCGTCGAAAGCTTGTCTGATTCGTCCACGTCGGAAGTGATCGGTGACTGGTCATACCGCGCCGTCATTCCGGCGGTATACTTGCCAGCCTTGATAAACCCCTCCTGGAACTCAGCGGGAGAAGACTGGCCTCCCGAGGAGAAGAGCTTGGAGAAATACCGGTCGAAGTTGATCAGATCAATCGCCACCTTCTGCCGTTCCAGGACATATGTCTCCAACAGCGAAGGCGACGCCAGTCCTTTTAGAACAGTGGCTAGCTTCCAGCCTATGTTATACCCATCCTGCAAGCTGACGTTCATGCCCTGACCGGCTTTGGGGGAGTGCGTATGACAAGCATCACCGGCAAGGAAGACGCGATAATCCTTGTGGAAGAAGTCTGCATGCCGTTGGCCAATGGAGTACGCAGACCACCAGACGGTTTCGACGAACTCGATCGCGTACTGGCTGAGAATGTTCTTTGCTGCCTGTTGGAGATGCTCAAGCTTGACTTCCTTGGGCTTCGTGCCAGCCGGCAGCTGAATGTAAAAGCGAGCCAGACTGCCACCTTCCCGGGGGATGATCAACAGGTTTCCTGCTTTTGAACGGATGGTGGTCTTCTTGCGGATGTCGGGGAAATCGGTGCGAGGGATCATATCCATGACGCCCCAGACAGCATCGGTGCTATCTCCAATCATGTTGTAGCCGAGTGCTTTGCGAACGGTACTATGAGCACCATCGCAGGCCTAGAGACGTCAGAGACTGCCCTATCACAAGAAATAGAAGTAATTAGGATGACATACAAGCGCATACTTAGCCTCAAACATCTCAGTCTTCCCGTTTTTCTCAGCAGTCACCTTGACAGGATACGCCTGCGGATCTGCCGCCAGCTGGCTATCCACCTCAACACCGGTCACGGTGTACCCGTAATCGATCTCCTGATTATTCCACTCCCGCATCTTCTCAATCAGCAGCCCATTAATCCGAGCCTGGTTAAGAATAACATGCGGCTGATGCGACAGTCCCGGCTGCGTATCCGCCGTCCGACCAGTACGCTTGATCGAACCAGATCCATCATCGGCCCAGAACACCACCTCCAGCACATGGTACGCTTCACGCAGTAGCTCCTCGCCAATACCAAAGCTCTCAAAGATTTCAACGGTCCGGCATTGCACACCATCTGCTTGGCCCATCGTCATGGGCCCGTCGCGGCGCTCCAGCACCTTACACCGGATGCCGTACCGCGCGAGCCATGTCGCTGCGCAGAGGCCTGCGGATCCGCTCCCGCAGATGAGTACATCGACTTTCTCGGACATTGGAACGAGTTGAGTATGGAAAAGTAAGAAAAGAGTGATTGATCTGGAGAAGGACCCTTTCCCCGGATTTAGTGGCCATGGTCTGCTTCTTTATGGTATACTCGGACCCAGGGCCGGAACGCATCCCGTAAGTTCGGGATGCATCCCGGGCCGTCGGCAGATGATGCCTCGGTCAATTGCCGACCAATCAACATTGAGATCAGGAGGACCTGCATAACGACATGGAATAAGAGTATATTGGACGGATAGAGTCTATTGCACGCATGCAAGGTATCAAAGTGGAAGCATACAAGCTGATGAAGCCAGTAATCATGCTGCCCTCTTGGGCTCAAAGATGAAAGTATCGTTAGCGGGTCTAAGATCATTATATAAATCATCATCACATGCCCACACTGGCAAATAAGACAGACCATCAAGCATGCTAGGACGCCAGCGTCGATGCGGATCAGGTAACTCCCGGAATTCTCAGAGAATATGCCAAAAGGGAGAGCGCAAAAGAGGTATTCTACAAAAAGTACTCGCTGCGGCCCGGCCGCGATACGGGAACATGTCGTTGGTCGTCGCTGACAGCACTGAACAACTTGAACGTCGGTTTGAGGTCGTCACCAATCTCGCAGACGGACGCCAGATTTCCGCATCGGTAACAGTAGTTGGGCGCACTCCAGACAGTAACCACATTTTGGTTCGCAAAATGATACTTGTAGCCCTCGTTCACCAACTGATGCGCTCGGGCGATCAACGTCAAGTCGTTGACGTGACAGAATTCGTCGGCCACCTTGTCACCGAACAGCCAACCTATGGATGGTAAGTATTTGACCTGGCATCAATGAACACAAAACTGACCTGCTCCTCTGGGGCTGACAGCCCATGTTTCCACATCGTCTGGGTCTGACCACACAAGGTCACAGAAGGCGCCTTCGTGCGGAATCTCCTGGGCTCTGGCAACCACACGAACTTGGTCCAAGGTCCTGATCTCTGGACTCAATCCTCCATGTACACACAACACTCTACCGTCGATGATGGCACCCAATGTCATGAAGTCGAACACTTGACAACAAGCCTTCCATACAGAGGCATTTCCGTACTTCTGAAAGCATTCCTCATAGAACCCGTACACCTGCGTAATCTGACGAGACTCGTGATTTCCGCGCACCAGTGTTACCCTGTCAGGGTATCTAGAGCGAAGTCAATACTAGTATATGACAGAGGCAGTTAGGGCGAGCACTCACTTGGCTTTGAGACATAATAACAATGTCAGGGTTTCCAGACTGAAGTATCCACGATCGACATAGTCACCCAAGAATACAAAGTTCCGCTTGAGCTCGACATCTCTTGAGCCAGAGCTCGAGGACCGGTCTCTTTGGCTCGCACTGGAGTCTTCGCCTCCCTCCTCCGGCGCAGCGGCATTTCTCAACTTCTTTCGTAGCTTGGGATCTGAGATCGTGGATGGAGGTTCGATATCGTCCGATGTAATGACAGCTGACTGCGTCTTCGGGGCCTCCGCCTCAGACCCGTCGGGCATTCCGCCCGATACCCGGAAAAGCTCAAGCAAATCGTAAAATTGGCCATGGATGTCACCGCAAACCGTGACCGGCGTCGATACGGGCTGGATATTTGATTCTTCAGAGATACTTTGTCAGAGCGGAGTGTATCCCTTGATCCCCTGAGCAGACTCACCCTCCATCATGTACTCCTTGACGATCTCGCAAAGCTGCTTCATGTGCTGTTCTGACAGATACTTGCAATCTTTTGCTGCCTCCAGCCATTCGTCTGGACCTGCATTGCGCTTCAGTTTGGCTGGTCCCGGCTCAGGGATCTTGCTGTCCACCATGGTGCGGGTGCGGACGGACGAAGCGACGAAGGGAAAGTTTGACGGAGTTGGTGAGAGGCTTTAGGTGAAATCAGAGAGCTAGCAGAACGGAATATAACGATTGCTTTCTTGATATAGTTAATTCACGGCGGAGGATCTGGACAAGGACGAACGCAACACAAGTTTACTTGCGCGAACGTATTTCCCCGCAGGAAATTGGGCCCTGATCGTCTGTGCAGGGTCGCGTGCTTGGCGGCCCTCGTGCCCCGTAGTTCACTCGCCGCAACATATCCAGCTGGTTTTCATCTTGACCCAGAGTGTATATCTTCGTCAACTCAGAAGCAACTTCACTATATCCTCACTAGACTTTGTTACCTCGACTTCTTGATATCAGATTGTCCGCAGCGTCTTCATTCTCAGGGATTGACGTTTCGTCGCACCCCAGTCGGAGCGTAGATCCCTCCCACCCCTCATAACTGTTCATCATGACGCAGATTTCCGATGGCAAGTCAACAGGGGGTGTACTTCAGATTCCTGCAGCTGCAACACAGAAGAATGCATCAACAGCTTCCAGGAAGGCTCCGAAGCCCCCTGCGCCGCGACTCAAATTGCTCGTGAGACGGTTACCACCGGGTTTGACCCAATCCGAGTTCGAAAATGCTCTGGGTTCAGAGTGGATGGTTGGAGCAGGAAAAGTCGACTGGTACCAGTACAAGCCAGGCAAGGTATCCAAAGAGTCAGTGCCAGCTCTTACGACCAACTCAGCGCCTCTTGCAACTGACATCGATACAGCTATGCCAAACCTTCGAGACCCTCCCGCGCCTACATCCATGTTACATCCAGTGAGCATATTGCGCCTCTATCAGATAAAATCCGGCAAACATCGTTCCTAGATGCTCGCAACACGTTCAATGATCCCGTGCTCTTGGGACCGCCGTCTCTAGAGTTCGCTCCTTACGCCAAAATTCCCGGTAGTCGTGTACGGAAGGATGCCCGCCAGGGTACAATTGATCAAGATCCCGAATTCATTGCGTTCCTCGAAAGTCTGACACAGCCGATTACGAAACCTACCACTGTTGAAACTCCTACCGACGCCGAAGAAAAGAAGGAAACCGTTACCACTACGCCTCTCGTGCAGTATATCAAGGAAAAGAAGGCCAACAAAGCCAAAGAGGCCTCCAGCAAGTCCTCCAGGCATGCCAAGGGCGAGAAGGAGTCGAAGTCGGAGAAGGTACAAGCCAAGAAACTTTTGCAACGGCCGGACAAGGATGCTGCCCTGGCACCTACAGGAGACAAGGCAGAGAAGAAGTCCAGGACCTCAGACAAGGCGACGAAAGAAGCAGTGAAAGCAGCAAACAGAGCCGCCAATGCTGCTGCTAAGCAAGCTGCTAAACCAGCAGCGACCCAAAATACTAGCAAAGATAGTGCTCAGCCTGCTTCAACTGAACGGAAACGCGAGCGTAATAACGTCGCTGCGGCAGCCAAGATTCTTCAACGAGACTTGGGGCTTGCACCTTCAGGCGGCCGTCGGAGGGCTGGTAGGGGTGCTTCGACAGAGGCGGACTCGAGCAAGAAAGAGCCGGACGCTGCTGCTACTGCAGATACTGGCAAGAAGGATATTAAGTCTGGGAAGGCCGCGTCACCATCGACTCCAAAGAGCAAAGCCAATGCTACACCTCCATCTGGCGAGCCCGCGTCATCTCGTGCTCAATCTGGTCCAAATGCAGCCCCTACGAGCGCACCATCCGCACCGAAGCAGTCGAAATCAGCGAAAGGCAAGCCAGCCGCGCCAATTGCTTCGCCTACGGCTACACAGGCGTTCCTCAAGCACGCCAATCCATCACAGGGAGTTACAGAACCATTACTTGAAACTGCATTTGCACCTTTCGGAGAGATCTTGAAGGTGGAGATTGACAAAAAGAAGGGGTTTGGCTACATCGACTTTGCAGAACCGGATGGTCTTCAGAAGGCAATTGCCGCTAGTCCTGTCACGGTCGCGCAGAGTCAAGTCGTCGTGCTTGAACGCAAGATCAATCCTGGTGCAGAAAAGACTCGCGGCAAGGGACGAAGCGAGCAACCCGTCCCGAATAATGGCAGCAACAGCAACGGCAATCGTGGTGCCAAGCAGGGCTCAGATGGAGGATCTGGACCAGGCACACCATCCTCTTCTCGTGGACCGCGTGGAGGTCGCGGATCCAGGAACAAGGGCGGTTCGAAGAGTAACGGAGCAAATGCCAGTTCAAACACAACTAGTGGGAAGACCGGTGGGGAGACCAAATGAGAAATTGCAGGAACTGAATGTTGCATGTTACGGAGTAGTGATACCCATCTGATGACTTAAATGAAAGCGAAATTTTATGCCATATTAAATTGAAAGTTTCCAATAAGCCTCCCAAGAGAGAGAGTGAGAAGGCAGAATTGGATTTGCGCGTAGACATACAAGATAAATGAGCAATTTATTGTTTGCAAATTTGGTCAAAATCTCAGCGAGCTACAATTGAAGTCTACTGGGAGAGAACAAGGTCTTCATATAAACAGTTAAATTCTTTCTAATTTGAAGCAAAAGCAAAATTTGAGCAAACTCCGATCGCTTGATTACACCAACATAAAAGTGTAAAAAAAAGAGGGGCACCTTTCAGACCTCCTCGATACCCACCAAGTCCGACCGACCGAAGTCTAGACGTCAGGACAAGGTCAAGATCATCACCACTCCCTGGACCAGAGCAACCTCCAACAGCCCGAACAAGCTCGTTTTGCAACAAGTCGTTCAGAGCGTCGGAACGAAGCAAGGTCGAGTCGGGAGTAAGAACGGCTTCACTTTAGGGTATCGAGGACATAGCAGTCATCAGCAAGGGTGGAGATTCTGTGGCTCTTTAGAAGAGCTCAGAGGTGGGACGTCTACTCTAAAGTGATTCTTTGAACTGTGGCAGAGCTGTTAGCAAATGTTTTGACTCGCAGTTGAGAGGTTTTCCCAAAGGTAGGGAGGGGGAGAACATACGTAGAGTCGCTTGATTTCCAAAATGAATGGGATTTCGGGGCCTTTTATATTTGCGACCAGGCGCTAGCGAGTGCGCTAGCCTCAAGCGAAAATTTTCCTGTTTGCTTGGTTTGCTTGATGGGGCTGCCCACTGGGCCAATCAGAGCTGGTGGAAGATCTTCCGCTCCGCTGGCCAGACTCTCTCCGAGCTCACCGGTGAATGGGCTCCAGTGTAAAATTTCAACATCAGGGATGGTCCCCCCGAATATCTGCTTCTCAGTGGCTGTTGAGCGACTTCATGAGGATACAATGACAAACAGCAACTCATATGATATCCTGATTGGAGTTGAAGCCAAGCGTTTAGAGAACATCGTACATGCTGTCAGTGGTCCTGTCAAACGAGCGTCTACTGTGTGTGAACCTGGGTTTCTCTTACAAAACAGAATTGTGAACAGTCCTGATTCATTCACTGTTGGGTTTGTCTTTGGCAGACAGGTCAAATGACATACAAGCAGTAACTGCGTGCCTATCATATTTGCCGGCTTATGGCTGGCCTGTTATGTTGATACATTGCCGACTGTCTCCTTACCTATTTCGGCATGCCGAAGTCGAACACATGCTTAATTATGTTCTCTGCTTTGATGGAAAGCAGAGAACATAATTACAAGCTTAGTGATAACTGTAGACTCCATTCATCCAATGCCAGCCAGTATCTGTCTGGGGACCATGGCCTCTGTGACAATGGGTGGAAGTATCACACTTCTACAAGACTCCAGAAGAATAACATAGAGGTCCTCGACTACACCCTCCCCTCCATATAAGCGGCTTGTCAATTGCCAGATGCAATTGATATAGAGGACTTGAGCTCTTCATGGTTGCATCCATGTTGGGATGCTCGAGCTTGCAAAATGCAGACTACGAGATACGTAGATCTTTTCGCATTCGAAGCACTGCTTCTTGGACGGTCCGAGACTCGACAATAAGGCGTATAATGCGGGCCGCTTTGAAGACAACGCGAGTAGTTGGGGAATCGCAGTATCTGCCTTCCCTGTCAGCTGCGTCCTGTCATCGACGACTTTTATTGCGATGATAAACTTTTGAGATTGCCTCGACATTCCTTTTTACTGCTCTTTGATTAGATGATCCAGGTCTCGAACGTGTGATCCGGAGGTGGAGCAAAAAATATAACGTTGTAGGCTTATCCCTTCGGCCAAAGAGCCAAAGATCCAAGTCTGATTCTACGTCTAAACATTAATATGCCAAATGTCCATCTTAAAACGCGAAAGCTTCTCATGAGCTTCTTCAGATCCAATTTTTTACTTATATCTTGAATAATCACGTTATTAATGTATGTCTCTACTGTATTACCCAAAAACAAGCTAGATCCTGCCAAAGTTAGGTGATGTGTGAGTTGTAGGATTGTTGTGGCCTGTACCTGGTACAAGTATATATATCTTGCGACTACATTCTGGTCAGCTGCCACATATGTCATCGATATTCATGGAGGACTCACCCACACCTCGACCACGATATTTCTATATAGTTGATCCTATCAATCACGACGACATATGCCTAACTGAATCTAGTTGAAGTCGGTTCAAATATCGACGAAGCCCTATGATACATCAAGTCACGAGACTCATCAGTCGGAAGTCGGAACGGGGACAGTTGGAGATCAACACGTTTCCCCGCCCACATGGAGGTCGCTTGACCAATCCAAACATGCCGGGACTTTCAACGACGACGATAACCGATATGCCGCGTAATAAAGCATGGCTCAAATGCGGGGAGACCTTATCTTCCCCTGCAGAGCTGGAAATAGAATATCACCGGAGGTGTTCAAGCTATTTCGACAGCAAGCTATTTTGACAGCCGCGTTACTTCCGACGACATGGACATGTGGACAGTGGACCTGCATCTATCTTAGACATTGATATCGGCCATGGCACGACCCAAAGTGCATCCCGCCAATCGTCTGCGGGCATACGAGGCATGTCTATTCTGCAGAACATCCAAGAGGAGATGTAGCGGATCTTTCCCATGCCAAAACTGCATTCGAAAGGGACAGGCGCATTCCTGTATGCCAAGCAGACGAAGGGAGTCATTCTCAGCTTCAAGGCAACCCAACACGCCAGATGCGCCAAGCGGACCTGTTGCTGCTATCATGCCGTCCCAGGTACTGTCGTCCACAGATTCCCAGCGTCATGCACCGCTTGCGACCTCTGTCGACCAGGGATCGGCCTCCCCTGAAGCACAACACAAAACGCGTCCTAGAATGTTGCGTAGCCTCCAAGGGGAAAGAGGTATGTGTGGCAGCTGATAATTCTACTCTGAAGCAATTGAGTGTTGACATGCTATCCAGTGTATGTGGGCAGGGCTGCGTCGCTATCCTTCCTGCAGTTACTCCGAGATACTGTCACCCAACACATAGGCCCGTCACAGTTCTCACACAATGTTAAATTGGAAGACATGCTCGAGACAGAAGCGCCCAGCAATGTTTCGCCGGACTTTGAAGATCAGCTAGACCTCCAGCAGCGTCAAGCCTTACTCAGAGCATACCAGATTGCAGTAAGATATACTAGAGCTGCCTGAGACCTATTGAATCCAGTCCGTCGTCGAGTTATTCAGAAATATCCCACTGATCATCTCTGCCTGACAGACAAGTGGCTTCCTCTATCTGATGCCGGATTCCGAATTGATGCAGCCTCTACCTAATCCGCGCTCCGACACTGGCCATGCACAACATACAACAGCTCTACTCGACGTCATGATTGCCATTGGCGCACAGTCGCATAAGCATGATCCAACGAAAGTGCAAATAGAGCACTTCTTCTTTGCGAGGGGGCAACGCCGGGCGTTCGTTAGCATGCTGGAGAACCCCAGCCTGGAAATGGTGAGCTTGTTTCTGCTGATGTCGTTCTACATGCTCGGGGCGTGCCGCAGAAATGCTGCTTTCATGTATCTTGGCGTGGCCGCTCGAGCAGCTGTGGCACTCGGTCTACACATCGATGTCTCTGGTTCGCTATCGGTCAACGAACAGCAGAAAAGGTACCTTTATGGTTTCACTGTGATGTCACTTCCGAGCTAATGCACAGTTATAAATAGAGCATGTGTTTGGATGAGTCTATGCAGCCTTGATCTCCTAGTCAGCTCCATCCTCGGACGACCCCCCGCAACAGCCTCACTCCGCTCGGAATCATTAGCCAGCATCAGTGAGGCACTTCAGCGCAATGATCTTGCCGAGGAACGGCTGGTGGCATTATATAATCTCGCGCAAATCCTGGATGAAACGATCACCCGCTTGTACAGCGAAAAGGCAGCCTCGGCGCAGGTCGCCGAGTCGATACTGGAGAAGCTTAAGGGGTGGAGCGATGGTCTACCGGAGTCCTTGCTTGCACCTCCAGGCACAGAACAGGAGTGTGTTGCTGCTCAGGACCGGGTTATAGGCAGCCTGCACATCGCCTGTTCCTATCATTTTGCCATCATCATTGTGACGAGACCATTCCTGGTATCAACGCTAGGTGTCCGGCTGGCCCGACTACATGACAGCCTCGCTGAACGGAATCCGGGTGACGTCTACTCAGAGAACCCCGTGCATTCCCGGCTGGCTCTCGCCTGCACAGACTCGGCTCTTTACATGCTCCAAACTTGCCTGGAGATTCATCGTTCCCATCTACTCCTAGGAAACATGTGTATCCTGAAGTGAGTTGTACACAAGACTTAGCGTACTGCACATGCTAAATGACTATCTTCATTAGAGCCTTCATCTTCGCTGCAGCTTTAGTTGTCGGGTTTTCGCTCTTCTCGCAAAAAGACCCAAACCCCGACCTTGAAGAAGCCTTCACTGGCGCCATCGACATCCTCCACGTGTTCTCCGAGCAGTCGGCCCAAGCGGGCCACTACTACGAAATACTCTCCTTTCTCCGCAACGCTATCGCCGAACAACGCCAAAGACTCTCGAACCAGGACCAAAGCAGCAAAAGCCAATATGTGAGCAAGATTTTCAGCTTGAATGGCCGTAGGGCATCACGCCAGACGGAGGGCGCGGTCACTGTTAATCTAGCCACACTAACGAGTCCCTTTGATATCAATAGCGTCCCACTGGAATGGGAGTGCATGGAGCTTCCGTTTTGGGATAGCTTCCCCTTCACAGAAGAAACACTTCCGCTGCAGGACAGAACGAGTGATATGAACCCACTGTGAATGTATTTACTGTATATACTAGTGTGAGTGCTGCACTGTATCAAGTCCATACTGCTAATTATCTGTTTAATCTGGCCTTCCATTTGGTATTATGCATACCG